TTTAGGGACGGCTTTGTCCTTGACTGGGGCTGGCACCGCCCGGGCTGGCTCCCAGGTGACGATTCCCGATGCGACACCGATCCCTGGAGGAGCCGCTGCCGACCTTGAGCCTCCCCCGCGCCCAGCCCACGGCTCCCAAGCCTTTCCTGCAGGGACAGACTCCCCCTGCCCCATCGGGCACGGCCAAGCTGCTCCCACGCCTGGCTGATCCCAAATCACCCCAATTCACAGTGCCCGGAGCAGGAGCCGTGTTTGGGATGGCAGGAGCAGCGAGGGGAAGGAGGCTGGAGGCACAGAAATCCACAGATCCACAACCTCTGCGTGTCCTGTGGTGCTGGAGCTGGGATCTTCCCAAAAAACCCTTCCTGAGCTGCCCATGGGCCGGGGCATTGGGGCTGCAGGGGCAGGGCCCAGGCAGGGGCAGAGTCCCGGTGTCTGAGCAGCCCCTGGCTCCTGCTCTCCCTGCCATTCCCGAGCCACATTCCCCTGGGGCTGCAGAGGGAAAGGTGGGAGAGGTTTGAAAATCCCTGTCACAGCTCTGAGCTGCAAGGAGCAGGGAGAACCCTGAGTAAAGTGAGGCTGAAATTTGGGGAGAGGAGCTGGCAGGGAGCTGCATCCCAGGGATGGAGCTGTACATCCCAGGATGGAGCTGTACATCCCAAGGATGGAGCTGTACATCCCAGGATGGAGCTGTACATCCCAGGAATGGAGCTGTACATTCCAGGATGGAGCCCTGCATCCCAAGGATGGAGCTGTACGTCCCAGGATGGAGCCCTGCATCCCAAGGATGGAGCTGTACATCCCAGGATGGAGCCCTGCATCCCAAGGATGGAGCTGTACATCCCAGGATGGAGCCCTGCATCCCAGGATGGAGCTGTACATCCCAGGGATGGAGCTGTACATCCCAGGATGGAGCTGTACATCCCAAGGATGGAGCTGTACATCCCAGGATGGAGCTGTACATCCCAGGATGGAGCTGTACATCCCAGGGATGGAGCTGTACATCCCAGGATGGAGCTGTACACCCCAGGGATGGAGCTGTACATCCCAAGGATGGAGCTGTACATCCCAGGGATGGAGCTGTACATCCCAGGGATGGAGCTGTACATCCCAGGATGGAGCTGTACACCCCAGGGATGGAGCTGTACATCCCAAGGATGGAGCTGTACATCCCAGGATGGAGCTGTACATCCCAGGGATGGAGCTGTACATCCTAGGATGGAGCTGTACATCCCAAGGATGGAGCTGTACATCCTAGGATGGAGCTGTACATCCCAGGGATGGAGCTGTACATCCCAGGATGGAGCTGTACATCCCAGGATGGAGCCCTGCATCCCAGGATGGAGCTGTACACCCCAGGGATGGAGCTGTACATCCCAAGGATGGAGCTGTACATCCCAGGATGGAGCTGTACATCCCAGGATGGAGCTGTACATCCAAGGCCACATCCAAGCCGTGCCAGCTGCTGTGTCTGTGCAGGTGCACAGGTGACAAATGAAGCTGTCCCTGAGCAGGGTAAGTCACCCTGAGTGCCAGCACTGCTCCCACACCTTCCTCCTCCTCCCGCCTGGAGGAGCCGCTTTAGTTCTGGTGATTTTGCCAAGAGGGCACCAAAGGCCCTTCAGAGCAGCTTTCACCTCCAAGGCTTTGCTCTCATTAACGCGGCTCCCTCACAGTCAGGAGGAGCCGTGGAGACTCAGCCTCCTCCCGGGACGGAGGGCAGGGCTAAGCCGGAGGGGTGAATACGAGCTCGTCCCTCCCACGGCTGTTTCAGCTCTGCAGGAGGGAGCCCAACACCGGCGCAGCAGAGAGAGCCAGGGCTGCAGGGCACCGAGGGCACCCGGAGCATCCTCCGAGGGCAGCGCCCAGGGGGAACGCGGCAGCCTGGTGCTGGCACTGGGAAGGAGCAGGGGAATTCAGGGCATGGATCCTGGGGGGTCTGGAGGCTCCCCAGCAGCAGCTGGGGCAGAGCCCAGCCAGGAGATGCCCCTCGGGTCCCTCTGGGCTGATGCTGTGCCTGGAGGTGGCTCCAGCTCTCTGTGGGCACGGAGCTGGCTGGGCATCCTTGGTCCTGGCACATGGGGACCACCAGCTCCATCCCAGGACTGGAATTCTGGGAGCAAGCCTGGTAGGCTGCTGGCTCTGATGGACACCAGGTTGTTTTTATCACACTGCAACTTAAAACGACAGAAAATGAGAGATTTGGGGAAAAAAAATCCCAATAATCAGCCCTCAGTTTGTCCAGGTGACACCCAAGGGCTGCTGGAAGGGTCCCTGTGGTCCCAGCAGCATCCTGGGGTTCTTGTGGAAGGGGAAATTCCCAGCACAAGCAGCTGGGTGGGAGCTGGTGCAGACAAAGGGGGACAGTGCTCCTGGAGAGTGGGCAGGGATGGCCCTGGCACAGCCCAGCCCTGGGCAGGTCACCCAGAGCCACCATTAGCCCCGTCTGGGGCAGGTCTGTTCCTGCTGGGGTCTGGGGATTATCCAGGGCGGGCACCGGAGTCAGCCCTGTTCTGGTTCCTGTCAAAGCTGAGGAGGGAGGGAAGGAGCTCCCAGCCCTCCACACCCTGCCTGTGGAGGTTTCCTGTGACAAAGGCACAGGGATGAAACAGCAGCGAGGGCACAACGCGCACTCAGCCACCTCAAAGTCTCCACGAGCCCCAAGGTGCATTTTGGGCTTTAAATCGGCCTGAAAAGGACAAAAATGCAGATTTCAGGCAGCTGGGGTGGAGTTGGTACCCGAGGCAGGACAGGGGAGGTTTAGGGTGGTTTTGGGATGGACAAGGGCTGCTCCTGCTCCTGCGTGGTGCAGAGATCAATCCCGGATCACCTCTCCCTCCCCACAGGATCCGATTACCGGGTGAAGATGCAAACCCCTCCCGGCTGCACCAGGCACGGGGAATGTTCTGGAGCGGGCACAAGAGCTCACCCTGAGCAGGTAATTCCCTTTGTCCTAAGGACATCTGGGATTGAAGTGACCCCAAGAGAGGTTTTGGAGCAGACACTCAGCCAGCTCAGAGCCCTGTCCAAGCCCCCTTTCCAGCTGCTGTACCTGCACCAGGAAACCGAGAACAGCCATAAATTCACTCCCAAATCCCACTCCCTGCTCCAGCAGCAGGAGCAGCCCCAGCCCCCACCCCATGCCCAGCCCAGCTGTGGGGATCCAAAACCCCAGGATGGCTTGGGTTGGGTTGGAGAGACCCCAGAGCCACCCAGTGCCAGCCCTGCCATGGCAGGGACACCTCCACTGTCCCAGGGTGATCCAAACCCTGTCCAGCCTGGCCTGGGGCACTGCCAGGGATCCAGGGGCAGCCACAGCTGCTCTGGGAATTCCATCCCAGCCAGGAATTCCCAATTCCCAATCTCCCACCCATCCCTGCCCTCTGGCAGTGGGAGCCATTCCCTGGGTCCTGTCCCTCCATCCCTTGTCCCCAGTCCCTCTCCAGCTCTCCTGGAGCCCCTTCAGGCCCTGCCAGGGGCTCTGAGCTCTCCCTGGAGCCTTCTCCTCTCCAGGGGAACATTCCCAGCTCTCCCAGCCTGGCTCCAGGTCCCTGTGCTGTTGGATTTGGGGCAGCTCTGCAGAGGGGTCTCACCTGAGGGGCAGAATTCCCATTTCCTGCTGCCCACACTGGGATCAGCCCAGGCACAGGGGGGTCTCTGGCCAATCCCTCAGCCACCAGCATTCCCAAACTGGACCCAAAACCCATCCAATGGACCCCAAAGCCCATCCATGGGATCCCAAAGCCCATCCCATGGGATCCCAAAGCCCATCCCATGGGATCCCAAAGCCCATCCATGGGACCTCAAAGCCCATCCAATGGATCCCAAAGCCCATCCAATGGACCCCAAAGCCCATCCATGGGACCTCAAAGCCCATCCAATGGACCCCAAAGCCCATCCATGGGATCTCAAAGCCCATCCATGGGATCCCAAAGCCAATCCATGGGATCCCAAAGCCCATCCCATGGGATCCCAAAGCCCATCCAATGGACCCCAAAGCCCATCCATGGGATCCCAAAGCCCATCCATGAGATCCCAAAGCCCATCCATCCTTCTCTGCCTCACTCCAGCTCTGCCCAGCCTGGCCTCAGCAGCAACCATGAAGATTTGAAGCCTGTAAAAAGAAAACTTCCAAAACTGACATTTATGATTTACCAGTTTCTGTGCATCCTTCAGGAAAATGATCTTCAGGATGAGAGGAGGAGAAATGACCATTGCTGGGACAAGCCTTGCTGGAATGCAAAGATCCAAGAGCTCCTTCCCTTTTCTTCCTGCCCCGAGCAGGGGCAGCTCCAAGCAGCCCTCAAGAGGATGCTCAGCAGGAGACCCCAGCCCTGGAGACCCCCCAGCCTATCCAAGGAGAATTCCCAGCTGGGAATGTGCCTTTCATGGCATGTCCTGAAGCCAGGGACACAGCTCTATCCCTGGGCTTTTCCCTCCTAGGGAATTGAGGACTGTGGGCATTACAGGATGCCTGGAATGGAAGAGGTGCCACTTCTGAGGCAGAGGCTGCCACTGGGCATGGCAGGGGAATGGCTGGGTATCATCCAGACTGGATTCTGGTTTCAGTTTAATCAGCACACGAGCCCTGCTGCAGCCTGAGGAGCCCGGGGGGATCACAGAAGAGCAGCACAGGCAGCAGGACCTGGCAGAGCAGTGGGACAGGGCTCCCCCAGCCCAGCCTGGCACATCAGAGCTGCCCTCCCAGCCCAATCCCAGCGGGAAGCAGGACCCCAACAGCAGGGATGCTCTGGGGCTGCTCTGCTGCAGCCACTCCCTGAGCTCTGAACCCTGACAGGACCCGTGCCCCCAGCACATTCCCACTGTGGGAAGGGTCTGTGCTTCCCCCATGGCTTCCATGCCTCCCCCAAGCTCAGGGTTTGTGTTTGCTCCTCTGGAGCTCACACCCAGCCCCAGCACAGCCCCATTCCCACACAGCAACGATTGCCAGCTCTTCCCACACACACAGAGGCAAAGGAGACTTCACAAACTCCACAGGCTTTGTACAAAAACCGCTTTTTTTTGCTTTTATTTCACAAAATTGGGTGGCTGCTGCAGGAATCAAACCGGCCCTATACAGAGATCAGGTGAAAAAGTGGGCACAGGGATTATTTATACAGAAACAAAACAGAGTCCAGGACCCAGGTCCTCGGCAGGATCAGCACTAGGACAGTAAAAAATAGTCTCCACCTGGACCCTGGGAACTGCTCACGCTAAAAACAACCTGAGGTTACTCTAAACTGGACTAAGGGCTGCACCAGAAATCCCACGCTCACCCCAAAGAGCCTGGAGGGGAAGGAAGCCTTGGGAAGGGGAATGGGAAGGCCCCTGTGCTGGAAGACCTGGCAAAGCCTGAATTTTTAAATGCTGGAAGCGGTTCTGGAGGTTCCAGAGTTTTTGGGAGCCTCTCTCCAGCCCAACCTGGACAAAAGCCATCCCTGAAATCAAGGAGCAGCATCCAGACCCTCGGCAGGGAAACCCCAAACGCTGCTGGGCCAGGAGGAGGGCAGAGAACCCGAAGCACGGGCAGAAAAGGACTTTTTGCAGGACTTTTCCCCAAGTTCTGGCAGCTCTGGAGTGCTCCCAGGTCTGCCTGCTGCAGCTGCTGCCCTCCCCACCCCTGCAGCTGCACTGGGGGGACAGGAGCTGTCCCAGCTGCTGCCCTGGCTGTCCAGAGGTAGTTCTGCCATTCCCATCCCAGCCATCCCAACCCAATCCCAAATTCTAGCACTTCTTCGCTACCTACTTTAATTTTTTTTTTTTTTGTTTGTTTTCTTCATTTTAAAAAGTACAAAGTATATGCTCCAAAAAGAGGGACTAAAAATGGGGGGTTATTCCTCAGTTGGCTACTGCACCAAACTACTCAGGGAAGGTCCAACTACCACCTCCAAAGGCAAAGGAAAGGTAAAAACTGGAGCAAGAGAACTCCTACCATTGAGTGGTTTTATTCTGATTGATTCACTCCTGGTTTCACTGCCATGGATCAATATTTCCTGTAATAAGTTAGAGGCAGCTGTGGCTGCAGCCACCAGGAATCCCTGCAGGCCTGGCTGCTGGGCTGTGCCCCTGCCTCTCCTGCTCTGCCCCAAGCTCTGGTTTGGCCTCTCCTCTCAGTGCTTTGCTCAGCCCAGAGACCCCAGAACACCCAATCCCCCCGGGGTGGGCACATCCTAAAGCTCAGCTCCTGCCCTAAGACCTGGATTGTTTCACCCTGCAGGAGAAGCCCAAAGCACCAAGAGGAAGGAAACCAGCGTGGAGCTCTGCAAGGCCAGCAGGCCAAGGGGTGAAGGACTTCCCAGCAGCAACGTGGAGGCACTCCTGGCACCCCTACCTGCAGCTTCCCCTGGCAACACCGAGCCCTGGGGGCTGCAGGGGGAGAGGGGAGTGCCAGCCCTGCCAACCCTGCCAGCCGTGCCCACGGCCGGGAGGGGAGGGGACACCTCCCCAGGAACAGAAGGGAACTGAGGAATTCTCTTTTGGTCACCACTCCGCTGCTGTGGAAGCTCCTTCCTCCTCCTCCTCCTCCTCCTCCTCCGGGGCTGCCTTAGGGAGCGGCAGAGGCCGGCGGGGCTCCGGCCGGGGGTGGGGTCACTCCTTCCGCGGGAGGCGGGGGCTGCGCCGGGCCGGGGTCTGCGGGGACACGACGGGACAGTCAGGGACAGGGGGGACAGGGAGGGACAGGGAGGGACAGGGAGGGACAGGGAGGGACACAACGGGGACAGTGAGGGACACAACGGGGGCTGCGCCGGGCCGGGGTCTGCGGGGACACAGCGGGACAGTCAGGGACAGGGGGGACAGGGGGGACAGGGGGGACAGAGCGGGACAGTCAGGGACAGGGGGGACAGGGGGGACACAGCGGGACAGTCAGGGACAGGGAGGGACAGGGAGGGACAGGGAGGGACAGTGAGGGACACAACGGGGGCTGCGCTGGGCCGGGGTCTGTGGGGACACGATGGGACAGTGAGGGACAGGGGGGACAGGGAGGGACACAACGGGGACAGGGAGGGACACAACGGGGACAGGGAGGGACACAACGGGGACAGGGAGGGACAGGGGGGACAGGGAGGGACACAACGGGACAGGGAGGGACACAACAGGGACAGGGAGGGACAGGGAGGGACACAACAGGGGGGCTGCGCCAGGCCAGGGTCTGCGGGGACACAACAGGGACAGTGAGGGACACAATGGGACAGGGAAGGACACAACGGGGACAGCAGGAGGGGCTGGACACAGAGAAGGGACACAACACCCGCGTGTCTCCAGCCCACAGGACAGACAGTCTGTCCGAGGGGAGTTCCTGCAGCCAGAGCCCAGGAATGGCTCCTGAAGCTCTGCTGCACCTTTAGTTTGCTTTTCCACCACCCAGCACTGCATGGGCTCTGTGAAAGAGCAAAAGCTCCTATATTTTTGTGGACAAGATGCTGGGGATGCAGCTCAGCAGCTGGCAAATCCATGCCAAGCAACTTGCAGAGCTGGAATTGGCACCTCTCACCTGCCAGCTCTGTGCTCCAGCCCAAATTACAGCTCTTCTCTGTTCAAAACAGATGGAACAATAGGTTTGGTATCAACAGAGGCTGCTCCTCCCTCTGAAGGATGGATGTAGGTTAAAGCAGAGGAATCCACAGATGCAGTGAGGAGGGGAGGAAGGAGGGTACAAAGGGCCAGCCTCGTGCCCAGAGAGGAGATGCTAATGGAACATGACTGACTTGTTTAGCAGGGGAGGAAAAAAGGAGAAATTAAGGGAAGGGAAGAGTGCAAACAGGAATACAACCTGACACAAGACATTCCCAGCGGTAAAGGCTCGGGGAAAAGGAGGGAAAAGTAAGGCTGGGGAGCAGAGAACAGGAGCAGTGCCCAAGCAGAAATAGCACAGAGCTCTCCTGCTGGGGCTGGGAACGCCCCTGAGTCACAGCTCACAGCAGCTCCTGCTGCTGAAGCCAAAATCTAAAGGGCTTTTCCCAATTATTTTTTGGGAGAGGTACTACAAGTGATGGCAATTCCTGCTCGTCTGGTGAGAACCACACTGAGCATTTTGGGGTGAGGATTCCTGAGCAGCAGCTGGGCCAGGCTGCAATTAATAATGGCAAATTTATTGAGGAATCCCTGATGGAGAATTCCTCAGTCATCCCTCTCTGTGCCAGCTTGTCTTCTGCCTTCTGAGCTTGGCCACACTCTCACACTCATTCAACAACTCCCACACCATGGCTCCTGATCCAGCTGCTTTTTTGGCTGCCATAAATCAACTTCATTTTTGGAGGTACACATTTTATACTGGGAATGTTCTTTACATGGTTTATCCTCTCCTTCTTCCTAATCATGATTTCCATGCTCCAATTCCAGGGTGCCAAGTTTTCAGTAAGGAATAATTGAACTGGATTCTACTCTGACCTCCGCTATTTAGAAATTACATTTAATTCCTGACCCTCCACTAAAGTCAGGAGAGGCTTTTTGATCATCACCACCAAGCCTCTGTATGGTTATAAATAAAATAAGGGATGTTATAAATAAAATAAAGAACAATGGAATGTGTTGGGATGCCCAGAGGGCTGAGAGGCACTTAAAGCTTCCAGCACATCCCTGGCAGCACAGATCCTGAGACTCCCAGGAACCAGGGGGTCTGCAGGGCAGGGGAGCCCAGGACTACCAGGATTATCCATCCCTTTTTCAGGGTGCACTTACACAGATCCCACTATTCCCACAGGAAGCAGGGGTTTGCAGGGCAGGGGAGCCCAGGACTGTCAGGATCACCCACCCCTGAAGGATGCACTGACACAGATCCCACTATTCCCACAGGAAGCAGGGGTTTGCAGGGCAGAGGACTCCAGGACTATCCCTGGAAGGGCTGCACTGACACAGATCCCACTGTTCCCACAGGAAGCAGGGGTCTGCAGGGCAGGGGAGCCCAGGATTACCAGGATCACCCCCCCTGTCAGGCTGCACTTACACATTCCGTTGGGGGCAGCCAGTGGCACGCGTGGCCCCAGCAGGTTCCCGGCCATCGGGGCCATGCCGGGCGGGGCCGCCCCGCCGCCGCCGCCGCCGTGGATGCTGGCAGGGATCATCCGGCCCGGCAGGGGCTGGCCCGGCAGCAGGGAGCCCGGCAGCTGGCCTGCAGGGAGGGACAGACACGGTGAGAGCCGGCAGCGACAGGCAGCAGGGTCCTGCTCCCAGCCCTGGCACAACCGTGCGGCACAGGCGGCTCCAGGTGCGCTCCACACCCCAGGAAACTGGGGTTCAGCAGGAGACCCCAGCATATCCAAGGGGGAATTCCCTTCTCACCCCCCAGCACACCCCGGGAAATGCCTTTCTGATCCCCCAGAAAATGCCTTCTGACCCCCCAGCAAACACCTTCTGACCCCCAGCACAGCCCAGGAAATGCCTTCTGACTCCCCAGCAAGCACCTTCTGACCCCCAGGAAACGCCTTCTGACCCCCCAGGAAACACCTTCTGACCCCCAGCACACCCCCAGGCAGGGCCAGGGGGCACCTGGAAGCTCCCCACAAGGGAGAAGAGGGAGACAGCACAGGCAAAGCCACTGGAAGCAGAAAGGGCATCCATGGAATGCAGGTGCTGGGAAGCAAATGCAGTAACAAGGCATCAGAGGAAGAGCCTTGATGGAAAGGAGCAGCCATGAAGCCTCCTCATGGATAAATTTGGAGAGAGAACTGAAATCATACAGTTCAAACTGGGTTGCACAGGGTAGGAATTCCTACCCTGATTCCCTGTTTTGCTGTGAGGGAAGATTGCAAGGCTCTTCCTCACAAATCAGCTCTGTGGGAGACCTCCCTGTTCCAGGGAAGGAACAGGTTTCCCATGCTTTAAAATCTCATTTGAGGGATGGCTTGGCACAATCCAATTCCATTTCCTTCATCACACTTCCATGGAGGGACAGGATTTTAATGAGACAGGGATGGAAACAGCTCCTGCCCCCTAACCCCAGGCAAAGGGGGAAGGACCTGAGAGCCAAAGCGGCTCCAGGAGAGCTGGAGAGGGACTTGGGACATGGGACAGGAGCCAGGGAATGGCTTCTCACTACCAGAGGAATGGGATATTGGGAAAATCATCCAGTTCCAAGCTCCCAGAGGCTCAGAGGCTTTGCAGCAGAAGGAGACATTCACAGCTACGAGGGGTGTCATTCACTGGCAAAATAAAGGTTGATCAGGGAATACAAATATAAAAACTGGAACAATACAGCTGTGTTTGAGAGGCCCAGGAAAGGTGGGAACTGAGAAATTCCCAGCCTGGGAGCTGCCACCTGACAGGAGCCTCAATAATTTGGCCATCCCTGAACACCACAGGCCTACGAGATCCTCTCTCACTAATGAAGTGATTAATATTAAAATCCCTCTTCTGAAACACCTGAAGCTGAATCAGACTTTACTACACACTGAGTGGCTTCAGTGGAACTCCAGCACTGGGCACGAATTCCTTCAGGGAAAGGCTGCCAAACCCACAGGGACGTGAAGATTCAAGGGTGTTTTATATGCAAATCAACCCCAGCTGAGCTAAAACCACCACTGAACAGAAACTAAACCTACTTTATAAAGTGTCTTTTCTTCATAAATGCAAAGTGTGTCCCATCCCTGGCAGGGTCCAGGGCTGGGAGCAGCCTGGCACAGTGGGAGGTGTCCCTGCCATGGCAGGGATGGCACTGGATGATCCTTAAGGTCTCTTGCAACCCAAATCAACCCCAAATGTCCCAGCAGTGCTCACTGGGAAGCTCCCTCCTCCCTGGGCCTTGGAGTGTCCTGAGTTTTCTCCCTGTTAAGCCTTGGAGGTTTAAAACCAAGCAGCTGAAGCTGAAGTTGTGCAGAAGCTGAGAAGCTCCTCTGTGTGGGGCTTTGGCTCCCATTTTTCCCCTTCCTGACACAGGATGCAACATTTTCATCTCAAAATCACCTTAGGGAGCTGGCAGAGGAACAAGCCCATCCCATCCCAGCTCCAAAACACCCAAGTGAGAGCACCCAGGCACTGACCCCACCCTGAGTGGGATTAACCAAGGGGAAACCACTGCTGCCACCACAGCACAAGCACAGCCCTGCTTCACAGAGATGTTTTCCTTTTTTTCCAAGAGAAAGCGCTCCAAGACAGCGGCTCAAGCAGAAAATGTGCAAGTGTGACCTACATAGGGGGGAGAGCTTAGGAGCAGCAGCTGCAGCAAGAGATCCAGCCCAAAGGTTCAACACAACGAGATTTAACTGACTGAAAACCCCTCACACGGAGGGGCAGGGCAGGTTCACCCTCCCCTGCTGCCAGTGCAGCTCCACAGCCCAGGGAAACAGGCAGGAGCTGCCTTCAGAGGCTCTCCAAGGTATTTATCTCCATTAAAAAGCCTCTCCCTCTATTAAATCAGCACTTGAGGAGCACTGGGCTGATAAGCAGCCAGAGGGGTTTTGTTTTGATGCATGAGGCTTGGAGCTGATCCAAATCCTCCGGCACCTCTCCCTGCCCAGCCTGTGCAGGGAAAACCTGTGGACACAGCCAGGGCTCCGTGCAGGATGGCCTTGGGAGGGCATGGAGCAGCTCTGGGGATGAGCCTGGCTGCCACCCTGCTCTGCTGGAGGAGCTGCTTCCCAGCCCTGACACGGGAGAGGCACAGAACAGCCCCAGGAACACCTGCTGGCATCCCAAGGTGTGCTCCTTCCCACTGGGAACAGGCTTCACAGGCTCTGGGAATCTGGAATGGCTTGGGTTGGAAGGGACCCTAAAGCTGATCCCATGCCACCCCTGCCATGGGCAGGGATATTCCAAGAGCAAAGCCACCCTTCCCTCCCCCTCCCCAGCCAAGCAGTGTGAATAATTAACCACAGCAACTCACTGAGCCTCGTGTCTGGGGAAGGAGAGGCAGAGTTCCCACTTCACTGGCACCTAGCATTTCTGTTCCTGCCCTGCCTCCAGAGCCCTCCCGGGCCAGAGCCAGCCCTGCTCTGGGGGCACCATTCCCAGGAGCACCATTCCCAGGGGCACCATTCCCAGCCCCTCATTCCCAGGAGCACCATTCCCAGCCCCTCATTCCCAGGAGCACCATTCCCAGCCCCTCTGGGGCACCATTCCCAGCCCCTCTGGGGCACCATTCCCAGCCCCTCATTCCCAACGGCACCATTCCCAGGAGCACCATTCCCAGCCCCTCATTCCCAGGGGCACCATTCTCACCCCCTCTGGGGCACCATTCCCAGGACACCATTCCCAGCCTCTCTGGGGCACCATTCCCAGGGCACCATTCCCAGTAGGCACATAGGAGACACTGGAGCATCTCTGGGGAGCTGCTGCTGTCCCCCTCCTAAGGAAAGGATCCCCCACCCAACACCCCAAGGAAAGGATCCCTCACCCAACACCCCAAGGAAAGGATCCCTCACCCAACATCCCAAGAAAAGGATCCTACACCCAACACCCCAAGGAAAGGATCCTACACCCAACACCCCAAGGAAAGGATCCCTCACCCAACACCCCAAGGAAAGGATCCCCCACCCAACACCCCAAGGAAAGGATCCCCCATCCAACACCCCAAGGAAAGGATCCCCCACCCAACACCCAAGGAAAGGATCCCCCACCCAACACCCCAGGGAGAGCTCAGCCCTCAGCAGGGGAGGGGAGGGCAGTGCTGGTCCCTCCAGAGGAGCTGTCCTGGGGTCACTGATTGACTGCTTGAGGCCAGCAATTCTGTAATGTATCAGGTATTTACTGCTTTGTTCACTACTCCAGCCCCAAAGAGCCAAACTGCAGCAGAGGAGCCCAAGGTGGTGTCAGTGTCCCTGTGTCACCAACCACCCTGACAGCTCCAATCCCAAATTACACCCTGCTTGCACGGCCATGGATCAGCTCCAGCCCCTTTCACCAGCCCCTGACTTGGATTTCCTCCCATCCCACTGCTCCCTGCAAGCTCTGCACATCTGATGGAGAAATGGGGAGCACTGACAGCTGACAGGGAATATTTACCTAAAGGAAGCAAACTCAAAATCCTCTACCCAAAAAGCCCCCTGGAATCATCACCAGTCCAATAAGGAAGCAAATAGTGTCCAGCAACTCAATTTAAAGCCACAAATAATGAAATGCTCAGCAGCTGAAAAACCCCAAGCCCAAAATTCCTGACAAAGTCCCTTTTTTTTGAGTATTTCAACCATGGACAGAAAAGGAGGTAAAATCTATCAGGGAAAGGTTATTAAAATTGCTCATCCAGCTGTGGTGGGAAGTGTATCCTGCCCTCCTCATTCCATTTCTGCCTTAGGTCAGAAACTGTTTACCAGCTGAAAATCCCACCTGAAGGAAGAGTTAACAATGACAGCTACTGCTTCCCAGCTCCCTTCCTCCAAGGATTTCCAGAAGTTTCTCCCATTCCACACCATGGGTATCACCAGAACCAGGAGTTCTCATCCCATTGATCACCAGCCCAGGGCTTGAAGAGAAATCAATGCAGTGTCCAAAGTGGTACCATGGGAAGAAACTGGGAATTTGATTTCCTATTGCAATGACAAGGGGCAGCTTTTCACAGTGAAATTGGGACCCAACTTTGTTTTCCTGTTCTAAAAGTTTTCATTCCAGGGCAAAGGAATAAATAAGCTCAGGGAAAATGAATTCTATGGCCCAGCAGAACCAGACACGGCCATGCCAAGGAGAAGTGGGTGACCCTTGGCTGGAGATGCTCTCCAGATGGGCCCAGCACTGGAGATGCTCTCCACCACCATGTCCAGACTGACACCTGAGCTAAAAACCAGACTTCTGGGAAAAGCCTCTCTTTTTAACTTTTAGGTAAGAGCTTGACTTTGCTGCTTCTGCCCTGAGCAGGGATTTATCCTCCTCTCTTTCCTCTCCAATGCCATCTCAGATCCTTTCCTCCCTTTGCTTCCCCCATCCCTTCAGCTCTCATCAGTCACTCAAGGGTGTTCTGCTCATGCTCTGCTGAGCCCAGGGTGGCACCTGCAGCTGCTGCTGAGCTCAGAACCTGTCAGGAACCAGCACTGAGCACCAAGGTGAGGTCTGCAGTGAAACCTGGCCAGCACAGCAGGAGCTGGCAGGGATTCCCAGCCCAGCTGCTCCATGGTGCCCCTGGATCACTCTCAGGGGTTTGGGGGTTTCTCCTCCCCATCCCTGGCAGTGCCCAAGGCCAGGTTGGACATTAGGGCTTGGAGCAGCCTGGGACAGTGAAGGTGTCCCTGCCATGGCAGGGGTGGCACTGGGTGATTTTCAAGGTCCAACCCAAACCATTGCAGGACTCCATGATCTCCTCACACTCACCAAATTTTGGGATCTCCACAAAGGCTGCAGGAGACTTGGGGGCAGATCCACTGAGGGCACTCACAGGTGTGGGGTGATGAAGCTGAAATTCACCATTTCCTCTCCATGCTCCCAGGCTAGAATAACTCTACTGTGCAGCCAAAGAGCTTTGGCACCCCTGGGCTTCCCTAACCCCAGGCATTCCTAACAAACTTCCTCTGAAGAACTCAAGGCAAGGAGCCTCCTCTGCTTTCTAGGCAAGATCAGCTGGGCTCTGGCTGGGGACACAGAGGGGTTTGCTCCAAACTTGGAGTGGGCCTCAAATTCCTCCCTTTACAAGAGCATCAGAGAGAGAACTGTCAGAGGAGGTGAGGGCACATCCTGGTCCTGGGGAATGAGACAGCTCTGGATGCTGCTGGGAGCCAGGAGAGCTGAGCCCCAGCCAGGGGAGGTGCTGCTGGGAAAGCCAATCTATTGAGCAGCTCTAATCAAAGCTGGAAGAGAGCTGTTGTGACTAATGGACAGAGCCCATTCCCTGTCCCTGCTCGGGGAATGCAGAGCCTGAAGGGCTGTGAGGGCTGCAGTAACACAGGGCTGAGTGAGCCAGGGGAGCTCTCAGCCCCCAGTGAACAAATACTTGAACCAATTAACAAATGCTTTAACCTTGTCCCAGCCTCCACAGCAGTGTGGGAGGGACAGCTGTGTATGGGTGTGCCAGGGTTCCCTCCTTCCCTCTGCTCTCATTTGCCAGTTGTCCCTTTCCAGGTTATTCCTTCATGGGAGCAGCCCTGAGCTGTGCTCAGGTTTTCAATCTGAGTCTAAAACTACACCCTGTTTTATCACACTCCCAGTCTAATTCCAGCAAAAACCATACCAGCTCCCAAAGAGTCCCAGGGATTTTTGTCCACAGTAAACCCAGGAGCTCCCTGAGCCTTAAAAGCAGAGTGAGCCTGAGCCTCACCAGACACCTCTTCCCTCCCTGCCCAGCACCAGAACTCTGCCCCTGCTGAGGGAACCCACTCTGATTACTCTGCAGATCCACTTGGATTAGATCCTTCCCATTTTCCTTCTCACCTGCAAATCCTGCTGTTTTCCTGGGCCCTTCTGCTCCCTCCCAAACCAAACACTTTTTGTCTCAACAGGAAAGCCCAAGTTCCTGCAGCTTCTTGTTGCCATGTTCTATGTGGATTATAACACCCAAACTTTCCAGCTTCTTCAGCAGCTGCCTATGAAAAATCTTCCCAAATATTTTTGGCTAATAACTGATCAGGTTTGCTTCTGGAGCAGGTTTTGGTCAAGCTCCTCCTTGGCTGTATCCAGTCCCACAGCCGGGTTCCCACGTGCCAGCACCGTTATTTGATTTTAAATTACCATTTCAACAACCTTTAGCAAGTAAAAGCTGCCAATTCACATCCTCACCTGATCACCCCACCCTCTGGAGTCAGGAGTACCCACCCCTGGAGATACCCAACCCTCAGCAGGACAGGGCCCTGCCAGCAGGAGAGGCTGCACTGGACACTTGCAGGTGACCCCTCTGACCAACAGAGTCCTGAGACCCTCCCCTGGCACCAAACCATGAGGCAGGACACAGAAACCTCTCACAGCCAGGTCTCCTGCCAAAGAAGGTCCTTAAGGAGCTTCCTGCCCCTGCTGCCCCTCCCAGTCCTTTCCCTTAATTTCTGCACTTTTGGTGTGCCATGAACTGGAGAATTTGAGGAGTGACTGTTTTTGAAGGAGCATCTGCTCAGATCACCCATTATAAAACAAGTCTAGGGAAATACAAATAACCTAAAAACATCTGGAAATGCTTGGGGCAGCTTCATATTTCACTTTAGAGCTTGACTGTCCCAGGCAGGGGACTCCCAGCCCTGCTGGACAATCTGCTCTGGGGCTGATGAGTCCCTGAAGGAGAAAAGTGTTTTCCTGTGGCTGGAAGGAATTTCTGCTGCTGGTGCCCACTGCCTCCCACCCTGGCACTCCCCCACTCCTGACTCCTGGGGTTCCCCCCTCCATAAAACACCTCCTCCCCACATCTGGGATGGGGGTGGGAGCTCCATAACGAAGCTGCACAACATGCACGGCTCATCTTTGCAGCAGCAAACTGTGTCTGACAGGGGCCCCATTATAAACCAGTAACCCAGAGCATCCACAGCCCCATGGGCACCCCTCTCCCTCTGGGCTCACTGCTCAGGCTCAGGGCAGCAACTCCCTGCTCCCAGCTCTTACCTGGCTGAGGTGGGTGAGGAGGTGGCATCTGGTGGTGCATCATGGGGTAGGGTGGGGGCTGCTGGTGGGGCAGCAGCCCTGGGTGTGCTGGTGCCCCCAGGGGGGTGATGCCAGGCCCGCTGGGGTGCTGGTGGGGCTGCTGGGGGTTCTGGCTGTGCTGCTGCTCCATTTGCTGGCGAGCCCTCAACTCGGCATACTTGAGCTGCTCCATGTGGAAGTTCTGCCTCTCAGTCAGCAGCTGCTGCCTCTGCTGCTCCAGCTGTGCCAGGACAGGACAGAGTTAATAATGAGTTAGCAATGGTGCATTTCCAGCTGTGCTGCTGCCTCTGCTGCTCCAGCTGTGCCAGGACAGGACAGAGTTAATAATGAGTTAGCAATGGTGCATTTCCAGCTGTGCTGCTGCCTCTGCTGCTCCAGCTGTGCCAGGAGAGGACAGAGTTAATAATGAGTTAGCAATGGTGCATTTCCAGCTGTGCTGCTGCCTCTGCTGCTCCAGCTGTGCCAGGACAGAGGTCAGTGAAAAATGGTGCATTTCAAACACCTCCTGCCTCTGCTGCTCCAGATGTGCCAGGACAGGACGAAGGGCAGAGCTGAGTTAGCAATGGTGCATTTCCCACCTGCTCCTGCCCATCAGTGGGTTGGGTTGGAAGAAATCTCTCATCCCAAACCCAAAGGAACTGCTGTCCTGTGGATGTTTGCAGCAGGTTCTGGGAAAGGCTCTGCAGCTTTTTCTAGCTGGGACACATGAACTCACCTCGTTCTGTCCTAAAGCCTCTCAGCAGCACAGCTCGTTACTCACTGAGCTCTGCACTGAGAACTCAGCCCTAGCACAGCTCTGGGAGAAACTGGGGGGTTTTCCTCTGCATCTTCTGCATGTTGGAATGAGGGAGAGCAGGAACCTCAGGGGATTTTCTAGGGAAGCCTGAAGCAGAAGGTGTGTGCAGCTGCAGGAGCTCAGGGATCACAGGCAGGATCCTTCTCCACCCTGTGAGTGCAGGAATTGGATGTCACAGCAGCCAGACACAGATTTGCATTATTAAGAGCTTTATGTAAAAAAACTCATGTAATTTAGGCCAATTAACATCAAATAGGCTGCTTTGATTAATTATGAAGTCATGTAGAGAGTGAGACCTGAGCAATCTGGCCTAGGGAAGGTGCCCCTGCCCTGGGTGGAACTGGATGATCCAGAAGATCCTTCCAACCCAAACCAGTCTGAGATTCCATGAAAAGACAAAAACAGCTACAGAAAGCATTTCCTACCACTGGGCATGTGTATGATGGGTCAGGGCTCTGCTGAAGGAAGTGATGTTTGACTTATTGCAGGAATATTGACCCATTCCCACGTTATTACATTAATATATACAATAATATATTGTTATACCCACGGACAGCCAGGCCCGGGGCTGCGTGACTCGTGTACAAATACTGAAGCAGTGTTTTAAGGTAGGCTCCACAGTTCAGCTGAAAAGCAGGTTGCCAAGGAGACTCTCACCTAGCAGGAGTTCTCCAAAAATCCCCGAGCTGCCTCAGTAGTGGTGCTGGCAGGCTGGCTGCTGACGAGGCAGGCAGGGCAGGGGAAGGCAGCTCACAGAGGAGCCTTTGAGCAGCCCCAGCTGGGCCGAGCCCATGAATTAAACATGAGCCCGGCCGGGGGAGCTGCTCCCGGCCACAATGGCATCATTCACGCTGCCCTGGCTCTTTTCTGCTCTCATCTGCTGAGGGAAGCACCCGATAAATCCACCCCACCGGGGAAATGGGGTGTGTGGGGAAACATTCCCGAGGTGGCGGACAGCTGGGAGAGGAATTCCTGCAAATGACTCCAAACAAAGGCTCAGGCAACACTTTTGTTCCTCTGAGACCCTTTTGTGGCCCTGCTTTGCTCTCTTCGTGGCACCCCATCCCGTTACAGTTTAAAAGAGTCCTTACAAGGATGCCCAAAGAGCAGCCAGGGCCTGAAAATTCACATCGGAGGAGGAAAAGCAGGGAAAACTTCCCTTCTACACAATCCCTGTGCTTGGGATGAGGAAAGACAGTTGGACAGAGGAAAAAAGGCACAGAAAGACAATTACAATGTGAGCTGGTGCTAAAGCTGAGCCAAGCTTAAGCCTGGGATGTAGTGCTGACCCAAAGCCCTGGTTCTGCAGCAGGCTCTGTCCCACCTCACACACAGCCCCCAGCTCTGCCCCCAAACTGGCACTAAAACAATTCCTTTAAATAACACATTTCCAGTGGGAACTCCATCAGGGACCTGCAGCTGCTCTCCCACCTCAGTCATTCCTGCAGGAATGAGGCAGGAGCAAGGCTGGGAGCCTTCACCAAGGTCAGCTCTGCCCAGAACCCCAGAGTGCCTGGGCTGGGAGGGTCTGGATGCCACCCAGGCCAGCCCTCTGCCAGGGCAGGGTCCCCTGGGCTGTGTCCAGGTGGCTCTGGGATGTCTCCAGAGAGGAGACTCCAGCCCCCCTGGGCAGCTGTTCCAGGGCTCTGCCCCTGCATGGACAGAGGCTGCTCCTGCTGCTGGGCTGGAGCTGCTGTGCTTTGCTTTGTGCCACTGCTCCTGGTGCTGTCACTGAGCAGAGTCTGGCACCTTCTCCTGGCACACAGATTGGGAGATTTGTGGGCATTGATGGGATCCCCTGTGAGCTTTCCCCTCTCCAGGCTGGGCAGGCCCAGCTCCTGCAGTCCCTGCTCATCAGAGATGCCCCAGAGCCCTGAACATCTCTGTGGCCCCTGCTGGAGCCTCTCCAGCAGAGCCTCCCCACAAAAGCCCACTCAGGAAACCAGCTGGAATTCAGGGAGGTGGTTCTGGGTGTCACAGCTGACAGTGACAATATCCAACACCCCTGTCTGTGCTGCTGTCAAAGTGCTGCACCAGGAGGGGCAACTAAAAGCCCTTAATGGCCACTCACACAACAAATCAGTGCCACAGCTTCATCTCCAGCACAGAGCTTCCTTTCAGGGGGAATTTCCCCATGGAAAGGGTGGTCATGCTTTGGAAGGGGCTGCCCAGGGAGGCTGTGAGTGCCCATCCCTGGAGGTGTCCCAGGAACACCTGGAGGTGGCACTGAGTGCTCTGGGCTGGGAACAAGGTGGGCACTGGGCACAGCTGGGGCTCCATGGGCTGGGAGGGCTTTTCCAGCCTCAGGGATTCAGGAATTCCTCCCTGAACAGAACCAGCAAAGCTTTAGGTGCCATTAGAAATTGTGGGTGGGCCAAGCTCCACCAACAATCCCCTGGTTTCCCACAGCAGTGGCACTGCTGACACTGCTCAGCTCAAACACAAATAAAATAAATGTGTTTTGCCTGAGATGTAACACCCTGCAGGCTGCAGCACCGACTCCTGTCAGCACTCACAGCCCCTGCTCCCTCCCTGCAAGGAAAGCCAGGGCAGCAGGAATGACAGGCCCAGGGTGCAGTGGCAGCAAGGAGGCTTTGCTGCCTTAATTATTCCACTAAATATCCACAATGACAGGTGAAAAGAGCGAATTTAACCACCAGGAAGCCAAGGGGAAAATCTGTATGCACATTTTTAAAAAGGGAAATGTCATATGCCTCAAAAGGGAGGAAAAAAACCCTCCCTGTCACTAATGGAATATATCCCCCAAAGAAAGAATCTGCAGGGAACCTTTCCAAAAGAGCTGGGTCCATTTCCTGAGCTGCCAATCAAACACAGACTGAAACACTGGAGGATGTGGAGCAATCCAGAAATTCCTGCTGACATCCTGCTCCAAGAGGAGTCCACATCTTGTCAGACTCCATCAGTGTGATTAGGGCAACTCTGGATTGGAAAAGGTTCTCCATGGATGTGGCCATGGCATCAGGCCTGGCAGGGCTCAGGGAATGCCTGCAGGATGCTCATGGTTTAGTTTTGGGTGCTGTGAGGAGCAGGAGCTGGACCTGGTGCCCTTTCCATGAATGCCAAATGGGGCTGTAATTCCATTAAAGTCACACAGAAGGGTAAATGCAGAAATCCCTGCAATTATGGATCAACATAACCCAGTTTGAATCTTCAACCCATCCATAGTAACTGTCTACTCACAACAGTGAGGCAGCTACAGACAGAAAAAAGAAATTAAAAACTGTCCATTCTGATAGAAATGAGATTTTGAGTCACCTTTCAAGGAGCTGGAGAGGAAACACTTCTCCAAAGCCTCTGGCACTGCACGTGACACAACTGCTGCTAATTCCTGAGTAATCCAGGTGCAGACAGCTCCTCTCCATGCCCTGACCTCACTCCCCTCCCCTCTCCTGAAGCTGCTGCTGCCTTCCCAGCTCAGGCAAACCCATCAGCAGCAGCACAAAGTGAGGCTGGCACTCTGAGCATTCCCCTTCCACCTCCACATCCCACTTGCAGGGCTTTCCCAGGAGCTGCTGAGTGCCCCCAAACCCTGAACTGTGTCCTTGGAACCCCTTGGGTCAGGGGAAAGGCACTCAGGGCTGGCTCCCTCCCCTGGGGAAGGGAGGGCTCCACCCCTTTCACTCTTGGCAGGGCAAAGCTGTTCTGAGGTCAGACACAATCCATGTGAAAGGGCCACATGAAGCTCAATTCCACATTCCTGCTCAGGGTAAGGATGAGGAAGCAAATCCAGATACCCCAGTGTGCTGCTTATGGGACAGAGAAACACTGGAAGGAGCAGGACAGGGCCCAGATGCCACTGTGGGAGGGAATTGTGGGCTCCAGCTGAAGGAGAGGGACACAGAGGGGAGGGGAGGAGCTGCTGCTTTTCCAGGTGCTGGCACACAGAATCTGCAGTGAGAATCTGATCCCCAGTTGCACTTACTGCCTCCTTCTCCCGGTCCATGATGGTTTCCAGCTCCTCAAAGTGGCGAAGCTTTATCTCCAGCTTCTTCATCTGAGTCTCCACCAGAAGGGCCACCAGGGACTTGATCTTCCTCTCCTCCACAGCTGCCAGGTGCTGGGGATGAAACACAGGGGGTGTTGTGTGACACTGGGCACAGGAAGGGGCTGGGAGGGAGGGAATCTGCCGCTTCAGCCATCCTGCTCCACTTGTGGTACGAGACAGGGAATTCTAAACCTTATGCTGGGAACCAGAGGCCCTTGGAAGATGATTAGGTTTAATCAAATAAACAGGTGTGAAGGTTTCCTACAAGAGGTGTGGAGGATGCTCAGAGCAATCCAGCTCTGGGCACAGGGAGCCCTTCCAGTGGGAATGCAAATGAGGGAGAAGGAAGGAGCTGTTCAGAGGAGTCAGCTGAGGGTCACCCAAAAAGCTCCCAGCAGGACACACAGGAGGCTGTGACCCAGAATGACCCCAAATCAGGGAGATGGCACTGCCACGTCTTTGCCATTAAAATAGATTTTTCTCAAGCAGAAGGCAAATTGATTTTTATAAGGATTAGCTTCGTGCCATTTATATCCCCACATAAATAACACCAGAGATCTGTGCATCTATATCTGATACAGGAGGCAGCCATGCAAGTGTTTCACACCCTCAGAGTGTGACAAGTGTGCTCACTATGCCCATCCCTGTTTCTGTTAAAACCTGAGCCCAGCAGGAGAAGCCCCTGGGAGCGCAGCTTGGGGGGCTGTGTGCTCACAGGTGTGCCACAGGACAGGGAAAGGTGAGGGCTGGGGGCAGCAGGAAACAAGGAAAAGCTGGAGCTCCTCCAGCCCCAGCTGCAAACAGACCCCTGCTGAGGGAGCTGGGCCCCAAACTGGGACAACAAACACAGAGGGGAGGAAAGCAGCATTAGAAACCTCCCTGGAACCCTGAGCAGAATCTGAATTTCTCAAACCCATGTGACACTGTGCCATTGACAATGTTCACCTCCCTGACCCAGCAGCAGTGAGGGAGGGCTCAGTAAATGTGGGCAAATGCACTCCTGACTCTCTAAAGTGAATTTCAAATCAGGTCTGAGAGAACCAGAGTGACCCCAAGCTCGTCCAACACCACATCCCTGAGAAATTCCAGCAGCTGTTCCAAAACTGACCGAAGTGCTGCACAAAAAATAATGAAACAAAGCTGACAGAACAGGAAATCTCATGTTAATAACACTGTTAAGGAAAATAAACTTGTTTGTATGAAAATTCAGAGTGAAGGAATCACCTGGGGATACACAGTCCTCTACCAAACATTTCACTCTGTTTCACATGTGCAATTTTAATAATGCAATGGGATCAAAGCATGTGATTAGTTAAAGGACAGGTCTCCAAATACACCTTGGAAAGAAAATTATCTCTCAAGTTTTTCCTAGACAGACTCAAAGAGGCTCAGCCTGGCACTACCCAGGGCTTTCCATGGGCAAAGGACAAATCCCTACAGCTCCAGCTGAGGAGAATCAGGAACACAAATTCAGGGGTAATCTGAAATGCCTGATAAACCCATCAGCCTGGACTCATAAATGAGCAAGTGATCCTAAAGGGCTTTTCCAACCTAAATGATTCTACAAAAAAGAATCATGGAATGCATGAATGCTTTGGGTGGGAAGGGACCTTAAACCCACCCAGTGCCACCCCTGCCATGGCAGGGACACCTCCCACTGTCCCAGGTGCTCCCAGCCCTGTCCAGCCTGGCCTGGGCACTGCCAGGGATCCAGGATGGGCACCCTGTGCCAGGGCCTGCCCACTCTCACAGGGAACAATTCCTGATTCCCAACATCCCATCCATGCCTGCCCTCTGGCACTGGGAGCCATTCCCTGGGTCCTGTCCCTCCATGCCTTGTCCCCAGCCCCTCTCCAGCTCTCCTGGAGCCCCACTGAGATCAGCAGCTTCCAGGAATGATCTCTCCAGTCCCAGGCACCTCCAACAGGGATTTGGAGAGGTCACAAGATCAGTGTTTGGCAGCAGGTGAAACTGGGACCAGAACAGCTCTGGGAAGGGGAAGAGATGGACCAAGAGCAGCAGTTCTGCAGCTCAGTCCCAGCTGGAGAAGAGCAGGAGCCATCAGGGATGCTTCTGCACAGAAAGGAAAAACCAGCTCACATTGGGTGTCCATGGAGAGGAAAATGAGCAGAAGGGACTTAAATTCTAATGCTGTTTGTTCAGAAACCAGAACCTGTGCAAACATTTCAATTGTTGGTCTGTGTGAAATGCAGAGTCTCACCCTGAACATTCATGTTCACCATTCCTCAAACAGCACAACTCAACTTCTGGAAGCCACTGATCCCAAAAGAAAAAAAACCCAAAAAACCAATAACAAGGGAAAAAACCCCAAACACAGCCCTCATTTCAATCCCTTGTCTTTAACCCCCGTCTTCACTCAGAATCCATCTGCAATATTGCTCTGATATGAAATCCTAAGGAAAACAGCTTTTCACATAAGCAGGGCCAGAGTTTATGATGAAGAGTTTAATTACTCCCTCAGACACAGACCACCCAAAGCTCTAATATTGTCTGGCTTTTTAAGGCAGTGGGAAGAGAAATCCCTGCTGAACCTGAATTGTATCTGAAGTGTTAGCCTCCTAATTACAATACATTATTCCCTGCAATGGGAAGCTGAAGCTCTTCCAGAACATTATTACTGCCATAATGAAAAGTGCCATCAGCCAGGCCCCTGCTCCCTCCAACTCCTCATCTCCAGAAAAATGGAGCAGCAGCTCATCCTGGAGCAAGTGGCCTTCCATAAAACACAGATTAAACCTCATGTCTCCTCACACAGATACAGGTTTGTCCACCTTGGCTGAGGATATCTGTGAGTCTGATGAACTGAGAGCCACTCTGGGCTCTGCACTTCACCAAAATACTGAACCTAAGCTTTGCTGCAATTTGGGATTTTAATGGACAGGGAATTGTCTGCCACATGGGATTTCAGAGCCTGGTTTGAAAGGTAAGAACTGAAACACCCTCCCTCTCCTGGGTTCTGCAGGAGGGAGTGCACAGGACATCACCCACCAGCTCACTCTGGGGGATGCAGCTGGGGAAAAAGTCTGAAGTTAAAGAGTCAAAGATCAGAGTGGAAAAGTTAATAGAACACACAACACCTCACTCTATCCATGGAAATCCACCAGGGATAAACACCCAAGCCTTGCTCTTAGTTTTATAAAGCAGGTGCAATGTGATACTGAATCCAAGAGCGATTACAAAAACCCAAATTAAAACTTGAATCCAGAGAAATTTGTAAAGAGAAAACAGATTTGAGAAAGATACTCTAGAAGCAATGAAAGCAGTGTGGTTCCTGCAAAAGGAAAGGCAAGACGGCGTGCAATTACTAATTACAGGGTAAAGAAAAGCTGATTCAACACAGCTCATTAGAGACCACACACAAACAGGACCTAAGGGGACACACCAACGTGCTGCTAGCAAAACACAGGAACGTTAAGGTGTCTGAAAGCTGCAGTGCCAGGCGTGAACATCCCTCTGTGTCTGCCCCAGGCAGAGCCCTGGGGCAGCAGGAGAGGCCATCAGGGGGTTTGTGCCCCCCAGCACCACCCAGATCCCCCAGCCTTGCCAAGAAGTCACACACACACTTTGGGGCTACTCCTTAGGGATGCTCAGCCAGCTCATAATCACCAAGGAGCTGCTTAATTAACGCTGTTCATTAACTCCCCCAGGGGCTCAGGCAGGAGAAATGCAGGCAGCACTGGTGCTCCTGTGAGGTGTCAGGGATCAGAGGGCGAGCCCCCAGCTCTGGGAGCCAGGAGCACTCCAGGCCAGCTCTGCTGTCCCTGGCAGGCAGGCTCAGGCTGCTGGCACAGCACCAACCTTGGCTTTGGTGGCAGCAGAGGCCAGGGCAGCAGCTGCAGCTGTGGCCACGTTTCCTTCCGAGATCTCGTGCTCCACTTTCTTCTTCCCAGCCTCAGCTTCTTTGTCCTTGCTGCCATCAACGTTCTCCTTGTTCTCCTCTGCCTCCTTTTCCTCTGCAAGACACCCAGCCCAGGCTGTTACACGTGTTCCCAGGATGCACCACACTCATTAGTCAGGCACTAATTAACTCATCCCCAGTCCCAGCACTGCTCCCCATCCAAATGCTGACAGGGGAACCCCAGTTTAAGAGGATCTGATCCAACAAATGGGGCAACTTTAAATGCTTTTCATTCCCATCCTCTCAATTCAGCACCTGCCATCAGCTCCCCTCATCATTTCCACATCAACTCCATCAAATCCAAGCAACTCCTTATTCTACATGGTGCTAAAAAATCCTGAATCTTGGATTGCAGGAAAAAAGCAATATATCCATTCTCATCCCTGAAGTGTCCCAGGCCAGGCTGGACAGGGCTGGGAGCAGCCTGGCACAGTGGAAGGTGTCCCTGCCATGGCAGGGGTAGCACTGGATGATCCTTACAGCCCCTTCCAACCCAAACCATTCCATGATTTTATGAGGCACAGGGGAAATGGCAAAAAGAATAAGGTTTTATGTAGATGTTGTTACTCCTCAGCCTGCCAAAATCCAGGCTCTGCATCACTTCCCTGGGAAGCTGAGCTGAAATATTAACTTCCAATAGGAGAAATGAGCAGAGAATCCCAGAGTGGTTGGGTTGGAAGGAGCCTTAAAGCCCATCCAGTGCCACCCCTGCCATGGGCAGGGACACCTCCCACTGTCCCAGGCTGCTCCAACCTTTAACACCTCCAGCAGTTCCACTTCCTTGCATCCAAAGTGATCAAATGTTGTGGAATCTGGGCAACCCCCCCCTTTCTATGACCCACAGGCACTTGGGGGCTGCAGCTCCTCCTGCATGCCCAGGGCTGGGGAGCTCAGGGAGGGATTTGGTGCCCGAGCTCTGCAGGGAGGCTCAGTGGAGCCTCTGTGAGCACAGAGCAGCCCAGGGGAACACTCCCAGCTCCTCTGGGGAGGAGCTGAGCAGGGGCAGCTCTCCTCACCTGTCTTGGGCTCTGCAGCCCCTTCGCTCTCGGGCTCCTTGTCCACGTTCCGCTCGCTCTCCCCTTCTGGAACCTTCTCCCCTTCCTCAGGCTCGCTCTCGGCTTTGCTCTCCACCTGAGGGGAGGGGAGGGTGGGACAGGGGCAGGGAGAGGAGATACTGTTAACTCTGCATGGCACTGGGGGACAGGGGCAGGGAGACAAGGTACTCACTGTTAACTCTGCATGGCACTGGGGGACAGGGGCAGGGAGAGGAGATACTCACTGTTAACTCTGTATGGCACTGGGGGACAGGGGCAGGGAGAGGAGACACTCACTGTTAACTCTGCATGGCACTGGGGGACAGGGGCAGGGAGAGGAGATACTCACTGTTAACTCTGTATGGCACTGGGGGACAGGGGCAGGGAGAGGAGATACTCACTGTTAACTCTGCATGGCACTGGGGGACAGGGGCAGGAGAGGAGACACTCACTGTTAACTCTGTATGGCACTGGGGGACAGGGGCAGGGAGAGGAGATACTCACTGTTAACTCTGTATGGCACTGGGGGACAGGGACAGGAGAGGAGACACTCACTGTTAACTCTGCATGGCACTGGGGGACAGGGGCAGGGAGAGGAGATACTCACTGTTAACTCTGTATGGCACTGGGGGACAGGGGCAGGGAGAGGAGGTACTCACTGTTAACTCTGTATGGCACTGGGGGACAGGGGCAGGAGAGGAGACACTCACTGTTAACTCTGCATGGCACTGGGGGACAGGGGCAGGGAGAGGAGATACTCACTGTTAACTCTGCATGGCACTGGGGGACAGGGGCAGGGAGAGGAGATACTCACTGTTAACTCTGTATGCCACTGGGGGACAGGGGCAGGGAGACAAGGTACTCACTGTTAACTCTGGCTATGGCTTCCAATGAATTCCTTACCACAGTGGAAAGGTTACATTTTAAAGGGTGGCTGCTGCCTGAGCCAAATTTGACAGACCAACCCAAAATGTGAATAAATGTAAATGTAAACTGGACCAAGGCCAGCGACCCAGGTCAAGCTGGGTTACTCTGTGGGCACAAAACCTCCTGAACTGGGATGTCTGGGAATATGCAGATTTCCAAGCCCTGAGTGAGTCTTCCCCACTTATCTCTTCCCCAATGTCCCTGTTGATCAGGGTGGCAGAACTGCCTGAGAACAGAGTGGGAAATAACCCCAAGGCTGATCAGCCCCAGGTTAGTCTGAACTCCTCATCTGCTGGAGGAGGCAACAAGAAATATCTCCTGTTGCTGCAGACTCCAGAAAAAACCATCACCATTTATTTGTCAGGAATGTAGCAGGAATTAAATAATAAATAAACAAAATTTTAAAAATTTAATTTACATATAGAATTAAAATAATTATTTTATTAGAATACATATTAAACATAATTTTATTAATACACAAGCAAATAAAATAGTAGTAATTTAAATTTAGAGTAATTTAGCAGTAACTAAACTGGTATCCTGGAATTCCTGGTTTAATCCCAGCTCATGTCTGAAACACCCACTGCAGTTTGAGGTGCCTGTCTGTGGACACAGCTTATGAAAAAGCCACAAGCGTGTTCTTGGGGTCATGATCAACAGGTTGAAGGATAATGATAATTAGTGACCTCTAAGGGCAGGGTGGATCACCCCCAGCATCACAAACACACCCATGCCCAAGGGCCAGGCCACAATTCCTGTGGGGAGGATTCCCCTAGAGCAGCTCAGCTGGAGGCCCCTCAGCCAGAAATGGCAGTGAAATAACTGAGAGTGTCCTGAGAGCCCTGGGGCAGGTATGTGCCCAGAGCCCTGGCCCAGGAGCTGCCCAGAGCCCCCAGGTGAGGGTGCCCCCCTGGTGCAGCTGCAATCCCAGCTCCCACAGCATCCCCTGTTCCCAATCCTTCCAGAACCCCCCCTGCTGCCTCACTGCTGTCACTCCACACTCCAGCGCTGAGCTGGAGCTCAGTGGAGGCTGGGATCTGTCCCTGTGGGGACACACACTGTCACAGCTGTCACCTGTGTGTGTCACAGGCACCATTAAACTCCTGGATTCAGGATTGAAGTGCCAGGAGCCTCCTGCCAGCAGCCCCAAACTCACCTTCTCTGCTGGCTGCCCCTCTGCCTCTGTTTCCATCTTCTCTTCCTCAGCTCCATCTGAGAAACAAACAGGGAGGGTTTTAGGGTTTTAGGATTGTCCCCACAGTCCCTGTCAATTTTGGGCTAACTAAAACCTGCTGTTCTCCACCAGTGGCTTCAGCAAAGGGCCAGCACTGAACTGCCACAGCCCAGGCTGCTCCAGCCCTGCCCTGGGGCACTGCCATCCCCCCAGCCCTAAACCAGAGCAGACAGGGCCCAGCTGGTGTTCAAGTGAGACCAACATGAGGACAGAAGAAGGAATAAGAAAGGTGATGATTAAGGAGCCTCTGTCCCAGGTGCTGGATGGGTGCACCTTGTGGCAGGAGTGCTGGGAGTGCATCCCCGTGCACCATGTGGCAATTCATTTATTGCTTTATAAACCACTGATTTAAAATGTTCCTGTAATGACGTTCTGGAGATCAGGGGATAACAAGCAGCCATGGAAACACCATGGAGGTGCCTGCACAACGTTCTAGAATCTAGAATAGTTTGTGGGATTGGTTAGAAGGTCAAGAAATCCTAATTCCTCCACAGCTCTGCAAGGAGAAACAAGAGGAAGCTCGTGGTCCTGGCCAAGGATTTCACAATTTATATAGAGGCATTAAAGGAGCTTATTTAGATCCTGGACTGGGGTGATGCAGAACTGCTGGTGACAAGCCCTGATCCATCTCTAAGCTTCTGAAGACATCAGCTGGTGCTGGGGGTTCATTTTCAGTAATCCTCATTTTCCTGCTAATTCCTGTGTGCTACACTGAGAAAAACAAGGTACAAAGTGTTCTTCTTGAACAGCAGCAGCTCTGTAGAGAAATTTTTACACAAGTCCCTTCCATATATAAGAAAAACCAACTAAAATGCCTGACTGAAGGGTAATAGTTTTCCTCTTGGCCTATTTTAAGATGATAAACCCCCTTATCTGAACTATCTGCCACCATAATTCAATTTAGGGAGACTGGGGACATTCTCCCTCACAGGTTTTATCTCAGAGTTAGGATTTAGTGACCCAATAATGTCACAAGGAAAATCTCGATTAGATTTTGTCAGACAGCTCTTTCAAGCCTAGAAGCAGAGTTCCAGACTGGGCTGGAAAGTGTCATTCCTCCAGGAAAGGGAAGGGTTCACAAAGAAAGCTGGATTCAATCCTTTAAGACAAAGAAGGGGAGACAAAGTGCAGAACACTCTGAGTGTGCCTAGGTTGGTGGAACTCAAACCAAAAAAATACTGCATAGAAATATCTAAATTTACATTTTTGGGTGGGGAGGATCATTGAGGTCATCCCATTGCCACCCTACCATGGCAGGGACACCTTCCACTGTCCTGGGCTGCTCCCAGCCCTGTCCAGCCTGGCCTTGGACACCTCAGGGATCCAGGGGCAGCCACAGCTGCTCTGGCCAGGAGACCCCTCCATGGACCATGGGAGCTGCTGAGGGGCTGCTGCTGCTGCTGTGGAGAAATTCACAGGATGCCAGGATCCCTGAGGCTGGAAAAGCCCTCCCAGCCCAGAAGTGAGTGCCACAGACTGAGTGCCACCTCCAGTCATTCCTGGGACACCTGCAGGGCTGGGCACTCCAAACCTCCCTGGGCAGCCCCTGCCAAGGCCTGAGCACCCTTCCCATGGGGAAATTCCTCCTGGTGTCCCTCCCCTGGCCCAGCCTGAGGCTGTTTCCTCCTGTCCCTGTTCCCTGGGAGCAGAGCCTGTCCCCTCCTGTCAGGTAGGAGCTCCAAACAAACAGGACATTCCAGAAAGACAAACTGCTTCCCAGCCACTCTTCAGAGATGATTTTCTCAAGGAAAAGCACACAGAGCATCTTCAAGTGCCCTCAGATCCTCCTGGGTGTCAGGACACACTGATGGACACCATCCAAACCCAGGTCTTCCTTCCCATGTCCAGGGACACCTGGAAGGAAGGGACCTGTGACACCAAGATTATTCCAACATCCCGATTTAACTCACTCCTCTGGTCCTGGCTGCAGCAGCACATGTGAGGTTAAAATGAGGCTGACAGCTTCACACAGGTTGTGGTCAATGGGTTTTGAAAAGCGTTTTCCTGAATCAGCTGCAGAGCCCTAAGAGGCAGTGACAGCACGGTGGCTGCAGCTCCCAGTGCCACCAGGTGCCAGGGGTGGGACACCACAGGACAAGGCACAACAGCTCCAGTTATCCATTGGCAGTCTGGGGGAAATGAGTTTGCCTGGGTGGAAGCAGGTTTTGGCTCTAAATCCCAGGCTGTCAAAGGATCCCAGGGTCATTAAGGTTGGAAAAGACCTTCAGGACCATGGAGTCCAAGCTGTGCCTGATCCCCACCTTGTCCCCAGCCCAGAGCACTGAGTGCCACCTCTGGGACTCCACCACCTCCCTGGGCAGCCCCTTCTGATATTTAACACCCTCTCCATGAAGAATTCCTCAAAACAGTAGAGTCTGGTAAAACTTAATCCCAAATTCCAAAATGAAAGGATGACACAAAGCCCAACACACGCCTGACCTGCACAGCCATGACAGAATTGCCTCTGGCCCTGGCACAGACACAACCACAACTGCACTGATTTTCTGTTGTGATCTAATGAGCTTATTGGAAATACACCCCAGAGGAATTATCAGCCTGGAACAAAGGGGAGGGAAGGCTTGACTTTAAGGAGAGAGCTCCTGAAATCCCTTTCCCCTGCATCAAAGATGCTCCTGAACTCTCTTCAGGAGGGTTCATAGTGCACCTTGCAGGATGTGGGAATCAGGGATCACAGAATCCCAGATTCATTAAAGCTGGAATTCACCCCTGAGACCATGGACTCCACCCTGTGTCAATGCCCACCTTGTCCCCAGCCTGGAGCACTGAGTGCCACCCCCAGGCCTTCCTGGGACACCTCCAGGGATGGGCACTCCAAACCTCCCTGGGCAGTCCCTGACAATATTTAATAACCTTTCCATGAAGGAATTCTTGCTGATGTCCACCCTGAGCCTCCCCTGGCACATCCTGAGGCTGCCCCCTCTCCTCTTGTCCCTGTTCCCTGAATGAAAGGACATTTCTTAGGTCAGGAAGAAGCAGATGGTTGTGAGCCACCCCAGGACAGCTCTAAAGAGGGAAAATCCACTGGGAGATGAGGAATCATCACCTCTCCAAGCCCCTCTTTCCACCTGAATTAGCAGGTGTATTGTTTCTATGGAATTTTCTGTTTTTCACATTATCTCCAAAAACACTGAGCCCTTTTTTCTAACACATGAAGAACCCAGAGCTGAGTTCTGCCCAAGCCAGTGACTCCACAGAGAACTCAAATGGACTTTAGGTCAACAAGCAAACCTGTGAAACATCTCCCAGCTAAGAACTCCCTGTGTTACCAAAGAGATGCAGGAGCAGCAGCTCCGGAACCTCTGCTGCAGTGAGAGGAGCAAACACAGCTCTGCAAACAGCAGTGGAGTCACCTGCCTGAGCTCCAGCTCAGCAAACAGCTTAAGATGCCCTCCAGACAGCCCAGGCTCCTCTGCTCTCACTGAGGCAACACACAGCCTGTCACAGCCAGGCTGGGACATGAATATTTAATTGAGAGGAAATCCACGATAGCTGAGGAAATATCCCAGCCCTGGGTATGATAATGATGCTGTTATCTAAACCATCATTGACATTTCCCACCATAAATCAGGGCTGCACAGCCTCACACAGCCTGGGGGCTCAGCAACAGGGGGCTCCAGGGGAAGCAGGGGAGCTGGGAATGCTGTGGGGGAGCTGGAAAAGCCACAGCAGCTCCTGGGAGAGCCACAGAATTCAGCAGAATTCAGATGGGCCCAGCCCCCGGGACACACTCAAAGCTATATTATATTATTATAATATTATTATAATATTATCATGATATTATTATTGTTATATTCCAGGCACTCTGGAATCCACTGGTTTAGGAATGCTTCCATCACCTCAGAGTTTTCACCCTGGACAGCAGCAGAGGAATCTCCCTGCCAAACATCCAAACATGACTCAGATAACTGGGTATATGTGCCCTCCTTGTGTGTGGTTTTCTAGAGTGTGTGTGTGTTTGGGAATGAATCAAACCCATGCCCAAAATGGTGAATTGAACCCTCCCCTGGCACTGATGGCAGGTGATGGGATGCAGGAAATCAAGCACAGTCCCTCACTCAGTGGCACAGAGCAGCTCCAGCTGAGGCCCCAGGATGGTGTCAGGGGAAACCCCTGTGGGAGTAAGGCCTGAAATGCCCAGATAGCTCCAGCACAGCCCCTGCACAGGCTGCCTTGAGAAATCAGTGGCATTAACCATGGAAAGACATCAACAAAGACCTCCTAGAAATTATCAATCACCACAGGTGTGCTGGATATTCCCCTTCTCTGGAGCTGAATCCCAGCCCAAAGAGGGGATCCTCCTTTGCTCCTTTGCCCAAAGTGCTGAATCCTCCCTTGCTCCCCTTGCCACTGGCACAGCTGCAGAGCAGCTCCAGTCATTCCTTCCACAGCCTGCACTGGGGCAGAGCTCAGAAAGCTCTGGGTATTTCTTGTGGGGGGCTGTTTTAAAACCTTGGAGCAGATTGCCCAGAGCAGCTGGGGCTGCCCCTGCATCCCTGGCAGTGCCCAGGCCAGGCTGGACAGGGCTGGGAGCAGCCTGGGACAGGGGAAGGTGTCCCTGCCATGGCAGGGGTGGCACTGGGTGGGTTTTAGGGACCTTCCAACCCAAACCTTTCTGTGACCCTATGAAAGCAGGAGACAGAGCCCACCACACTCACCACAGCATCTGAACCACTCCAGTCTCCTCCTAACTCCACTGCAGCCTCACTTTATCAACTTAAAAGGAATTATCACCAGCTCTTAGAAAACCTAACAATGAAGACTTAGAAGAGGAGATTCTTGGGTATTAACTTAAGCTCCTCCAATCTGTTCCAGTCATTTTCCCTTTTCACATCCCATATTGACTATAATTCACTGATATTAAATAGTGTTAAAATTATTATGGAGCTTTGATATAATTTTACTTTTGAAATATATCAGCTAATGAACTTTAATTCTAGTATGGAATCTTAGGCAGATAGTTGCATTGCAACCATGGTTGCATTTAAATATAAAACCAGCATTCTGTGATTCCATTACAGAATGGATGGAGGGACAGGACGCAGGCAATGGCTTTGAAGAGAAAGAGGGCAGAGTTAGACTGGATATTGGGAAGGAGCTGTTCCCTGGGAGGGTGGGGAGGGACTGGAACAGATTTCCCAGAGCAGCTGTGGCTGCCCCTGGATCCCTGGCAGTGCCCAAGGCCAGGCTGGACAGGGCTCACCTGGGACAGTGGGAGGTGTCCCTGCCCATGGCAGGGGTAGCACTGGATGATCCCTGAGGTCCCAGCCCAACATGCTTTGATTCCATGCTAGTCTAACAGCCAGTGGGCTTTCATTCCCATCTGGAAGCCCCAGCAGGTGTTTCCATCCCTGCCCAGCTCTGGGGTACAATCCCCCAGTGCCCAAGCACAGCCCCAGCCCATGGCACACCCTCTGCCACGGACACTGGGGGTCCCTGTGCCCAGCTCTGGGGGGTGGGAGGCACCACAGATTGCTGAGTGACCCAGTTCACTCGGGCTGAGCAGCTCCCCCAGGGAGAGCCATCTGCTCCTGCCCTAATTTATTCCATTAGTCACAGCCCGGCACAAATCGCATTAACGCCGCCGGGCCAGGCCCAGCTCCCCTCACTGCTCACCCAGAGCTGCTGGGGTGGGACTGCCCTGAGAGCCCCAGAGCCACTGACAGGCACCTCACACCCCCCTGCCAGCCTGGGCCCACAGAAAGGGCCAGCCTGCAGCCTGGAAACGGGGAAAAGTCCAAGAGCAAATGTGTCACAGGGGGGACATGTTGAGGACAGGAGGGAACAGCCTCAGGATGGGCCAGGGGAGGCTCAGGGTGCCCATCAGCAGGAATTCCTTTGTGGAAAGAGTTATTAAAATTGGAAGGGGCTGCCCAGGGAGATTTGGAGTCCCAATCCCTGGAGGTGTCCCAGGAAGGCCTGGAGGTGGCACTGAGTGCTCTGGGCTGGGGACAAGGTGGGGACCAGGCACAGCTGGGACTCTGTGACCTTGGAGGGCTTTTCCAACTGAAATGATCCTTAACAACCCACAGTGACATCTGTACTGGGAGAATATGGTTAAGGGGAACAAAGACTGGAAGAAAAATTTAACTTAAGCTGACCTTATTTTAAAACAACTATGAAATTAAACTCAGCTCCAGATGGAGTAACATGGAGATTTGGTTTATAGATGACTTGTAAATAAACCCAAAGCTTGTCCTTCCAGTAGAGCTTCAATGCCTGCTGTCAGCTCTGAGGAGCAGGCAGCAGCAGATGTTCCAGATGTTTCTCTTCCCCTTCCAGCACACAATGCCCACCATCCCAAAGCACCGAGCTGCCTCACGGCAAGTCTGTCCCACTGAGTGCACAACTGAGATGTGTGACAGAAGGGCTGAGTGGTTTGTTTGCTTCTTTTCTAATTAAAAACTATCTTGGTGATTTAAATGGCATTTTGCAATCTAATTTACTGGGTAATTTTGCAATGGACATTAGGAGCTATAAATAGCAGCCCTCTGTGGGCAGCAGTTGATAAGTGAAGAGCAGCGAGCACAGCCCCTCGTGATGCCATCCCACAATCTGGCACCTTGCTCGTGTCCCTGGACAGGGTGACAGCAGGGCAGCAGCACATCCCAAAGCCAGCCTCCCAGTCAAGCTCCATCACACCCTGCTCAGCTTCACCCAGAGCCAGACATGCCTTTTCACGTCCAGGCACTGAAATCAGTTGTGATAAGCTGAACAAAGCAGGAGCCAACAGGGCTGAGAGAAAGGAGCAGTGACAAGATTGTGGATCTGTAACCAAATGAGGAGAGCAAAGCCTGAGAAAGCCCTGGGGATGGAGTAAACAGTGTCTGCTCCTCCTGCTGGGGAGAGCCACCACGGCCAACAGAGAGGGGCAACACAGCTTCACTTCCCAGGGAGCTGCTTTGACACTCCAGAGCAATCAGGAACCAATCTGCACCAGGCAGGGTTTCAGAGAAGAGACTTAGCAGCAGAGTATTTGCTGAACACCACAGAAATTAAACCAGAGCTTGTTAACACACACAGGTAAAGCCCAGCAGAATTCCAGCCCAACCAGAGCCAGGGCTGGATTATCATGTGCCAGTCCAGCACTCCATCAGAAATGTCTCTGCTGCTGCCTCACAGTGAGCAACACACTCAGAGTACCAGATCCACCCTAAAACCCACTGCCCAAACCCCCCTGTTTGCTTTAACACCACAAAGGCAGAAACAAAACTGTAGCTAAATGCACAGTATCATAAGGAGACAACAGATTTGCAGATTTGTATTACTAATACAAATTAATTGCATTACTTTAGCATAATTAATACTAAATGTAGTCACCTGAGATTGAAGGTCTTGCACAACTTTCTTGCAAAAACTTAATGACTATCATTTTGTCTTGAATTCTCCAAAACCCAACCAATGGAACATCCTGCTCTGGTATTTTTGCTCAGCCCACTCTGTGCATCCCAAGCCACAGCATTTCCACACAGTGAGATCAGGAGAACAAACTCCTAGAACTCAAGGTAGCCCTAAAATCCTTAGTTCAGTGTCTGAGTCAATCCTGCTGTGAGCAGAATGAGCCATCCCCTTCTCCCTCCCCACAACTTCCATCTCCACCTGGAGGAGGAGAATTTGGGGTTTCTCAGGACTCAGGGACAATGCCCCCAGGGGATGCAGCACTCACCCATCTTCTCAGGCTCCTCAGGGCCCGTGCCAGCGATGCAGCTGCTCTCCAGGCCGTAGGTGGGATCCACCTTCCCAGAGGCTCGAGCTGCTTCCTGCACCTTCTTCACGTGGGCCTCCACCAGCTCCAGGGGCACCTCCTCTCTGACCCGGGAGAACTCCTCTGGGGGACACCACACACAAAATGAGACATTCTGCGGCTTTTGCAGCAAATTAAGTCACATTTTCTCTGACTGGTGTGCAGGTAAGCTCTGGGACAAAGGGAATTCTCAAATATCTGAGTTCCTTCCTGTCATAAGAGGTGGTTGATTCTGTCTTTCAGGTGTGGTAGAAAAGAGTGTCTTCACAATTACATAAAACTGTGTTTTATGTGGAAAAACAAGGCAAAAATTGAAAGGAACTATTTTATCAAGTGGACACATCCAGTGTCCACTCAAGACTTGAACCTTCTAGTAAAAGATGTCCCTGCTCATGAGGTGGAACAGGAGGTCCCTTTGAGGCCCCTTCCAACTCAGTCCAGTCTGGCAATTCTAGGATCTCTGGCAAATAATTTCACACAGGTAAAACAGGAAAACTTCAAGATCCACACTGAATTTCCCCAGAGCTGCTCTGGTGACAGTGCTCAGAGGAACACCAACAACCAGCTGCAAACACATCAGGAGCAGTGAGGGCAGAAGGCAACATCAGCCATTCCTGGGCTCTCAGTGGCCTTCTGGAGCCACTCCAACTTCACACAGAGTGCCTGGGCTGGGAGGGTCTGGATGCCACCCAGGCCAGCCCCCTGCCAGGGCAGGGTCCCCTGGGCTGTGTCCAGGTGGCTCTGGGATGTCTCCAGAGAGGAGACTCCAGCCCCCCTGGGCAGCTGTTCCAGGGCTCTGCCCCTGCATGGACAGAGGCTGCTCCTGCTGCTGGGCTGGAGCTGCTGTGCTTTGCTTTGTGCCACTGCTCCTGGTGCTGTCACTGAGCAGAGTCTGGCACCTTCTCCTGGCACACAGATTGGGAGATTTGTGTGCATTGATGGGATCCCCTGTGAGCCTTCCCTTCTGCAGGCTGGGCAGGCCCAGCTCCTGCAGTCCCTGCTCATCAGAGATGCCCCAGAGCCCTGAACATCTCTGTGGCCCCTGCTGGACCCTCTCCAGCAGCTCCTTGGCCTGAGGAGCCCAGAACTGGACAGGACACCCCAGCTGTGCCTCACCAGGGCACCCTGACTACAAACGGGATTTCAGGGAAGCAGAAGACAAACCTGGGGGGAGCAGAGCTTCTCCTACAGAACCTGTACCCCCAACTTCTGTGTTTTACTGCTCACTGAGGACTCTGCACCCCCGTGGCTGGAGGGGCAGGCACACACAGGGTGGGGGGTGTGAGGCAAGAGGGACAATGTAGGTGGTGAGGGATGTGGGGCAAGCAGCGAGGGATGCGGGGCAAGGGATGTGAGGCGAGGGATGTGGGGCATGTGGTGACGGCCATGAGGCGAGGGATGTGACAAAGGGGCAAGGGACATGGGGCAAGGGATGTGAGGCAAGGGACGTGGGGCATGTGGCGAGGGACGTGACGCAAAGGGGCAAGGGATGTGGGGCAAGGGGCGAGGGACGTGGGGCAAGGGGCGAGGGACGTGGGGCAAGGGGCGAGGGACGTGGGGCACATGGCGAAGGCCATGAGGCGAGGGATGTGACAAAGGGGCAAGGGATGTAGGGCAAGGGGCGAGGGACGTGAGGCGAGGGACGTGACGCAAAGGGGCGAGGGACGTGGGGCAAGGGGCGAGGGACGTGGGGCAAGGGCCATGATGCAAAGGGGCGAGGGACGTGGGGCAAGGGACAAGGGATGTGAGGGGAGGGACATGCAGCAAAGGGGCGATGGACGTGGGGCAAGGGACGTGAGGCGAGGGCTGTGAGGCAAGGGATGTGACACAAAGGGGCTTGGGATGTAGGGCAAGGGACGAGGGGCTTGGGGCAAAGGGGGCTGTGCCGTACCAAGGGCAGCCTTGGCGGCGGCCGAGGCCACGCGTGGATCCACCACAGAGGCCAGGAAGGCCACGGTGCTCATGACGGGGTTGCCCGACTGGCTGAAGGGCACGGGCTGGTAGGCCAGGGGGCCCAGCGAGGCGTCCGAGTTCTCCAGGTAGGGATCCTCGATGGGCAGGCGCAGGAAGTGCAGGATGCACTCGTCCTGCGTGCGGCTGCCCACATGCTCCGACACCTTGTTCCAGTCGTCCTTGTACATCTCCAGGGCCTGCAAAAGGCAAAAGCGGCGGCTACTCGGGGAAAGCAACGCTGCCGTGGGCAGAAGGATTATCCATACTGGTTATTGTGTGATGGAGCAGTAAATGGGGATCAGACAACTACTAAAAATGGGTTTTTTTCTGGCATCAAAATTATCTGCGTAAGAAATATGAGAATTTTCCTGGGGTATCAGTGACATTGAAGCCACAGGGATCATCACAGGAGTGGATGCTGTTACTGTATCAGAAAGAATTGTCAGAGGACTTGGGATTTACTAATACTTGCACAGTAGGTGTTTTTCCATTTTGCTTCCAGAGAGAACTAAACCTGCCTTTCCTACCAAGTCTCATTCCTCTCTCATTCCTTTAATTCCCAGCACCGCCTGCAAGGACTCTTGTTCCCTGTCTGAACACAGGAAGCTCTTTGGGGCAGGAACAGGATTTATTTCTCTGTTTCTATTTCTAAATGTGGCCTGGCTGTGATGGTGAAATCCAGCCTTTAGATCCAACAGATGCTATGGAAGTGGAAAAGCATCAAACCAATAGACCAGTGGAAAAGAGGGAAATCTATCCCACACCCTGAAGCCAGGAGAGACCAGCTCTGCAGGAGCTGTGCACAGTGTGATTTCTGTTAAAATCAGGGCTAACAAATCAGTACTGGCTAGATAAGGCATCTCATAAAGTAAGAACTTGCAGATCATATCAAAGACATAATCCTGAATTTCAGTAATTTTTAAACTTCCTCAAGAAAAGTCTTAAAACAATTTAACAGCAATGAGCTACTGAAGGCACTGCACTAGTTCCTGAAAAACCAGCACATTAATCCTGTAAAATCCTCTAAGTCACAGCCTAATAAATTATTACTCCTTAAAAAGACATTTTTTTCCTTGAAAATTGTTTTAGTGCAGTATCTGGACAGTATAAAATAAATACTGACATATCCTGAACCATTAACTTTCACATTTCTGAAAGGATTCATGGTGCAGTCACCCAGAAAAGGCAAAAAACCATTTGAGTTTCTGGCAAAAGATGTTCAGTGTGAAAATGAGTTTTCCCAAGTAAATCTCTCCCACAAAGCTGAGAACTCCCAGAAATCTCAACCTTCCAGACTGACTGAACTCTCAGAGCAGGGAGGGAGAGCTTGGAGCTGGATCTGCCAGAGGTCCTGAGGAGAACATGCCCAAGGTGGGAGAGCAGAGCACACAGGGACACAACATTCCTGTGCTGGGGGTTTCAGCACTTCCCAGGGACAAGAGGAAGATCCAAAGTGAGCCACCAGCCTGGTGCTCAGAGTTCCTCCATCTGGGAAGGGCCCACAATACACACCAACGTCTATGGAACACCAGGACCAGGCTGAAGGGGGCTTGGAGCTACCTGGGATAGCGGAAAGTGGCAGGGGTGGAGTGGGAGGGGCTCTAAGGTCCCTTCCAAACACACTGCTGTCTTCAGAGCAGCTCTGAAGTGTTTTAGTATTTGCTCAGTTAAAACAGAAGCTCTGAGAATTCCTCAAGGACAGAATATCAACCTTCACGGGGCCCTCAGGCACACTGTGGCTGCAAGAGGGTCAGCTGAGGTCAGGAAAATGTTTGCAAAAATGCTCCTGTTTGCAAAGATGTGGAAGTAAACTGGCTACAAGGACAAATAATTCAATCCAACAGCAGCAGAGATCCAACATGGATCAAACTGGAGGGACATGCCCAAGCTGCCTCAGTGGGCAGCACTTCCCAGAGTGATATAAGCTCAAACCTGGCTGAAGTTCCTCTCTCCCAGCCAGGTCTCAGTGCTTAACTTGGGTGGGAGCAGGAAACCCCCAGCACATCTCCAGAAAGCCTCTGGCTCCCTGCTCCTTCCCTCCCAGCAGCAGGTGGAGTCAGCTGGGAATGCCCAGCTGGGTGGGGAGAACACCCAGGAGCTGCTGAAGACCCCGAGCAGCACCAGCAGGGCTTGGGAGAGCTCCAGGGAGAGCCCTGGGCTTGGGAATGACCTGGGACAGGCTGCATTGGCCAGCCTGCTCCCCACTGGGAATCACCATCCCCAAGCCCTGCTGAGCCCTTCTCCTGCCCTGGGACCTCCCAAGGGTTTGAGCAGAGGACAGACTGCTCAGCTCAGCAGGTCACACTCAAGGCAGATATTTATTCTCTGCTCAGCCCTTATTTCCCTTTCCCTAATTTCACCTCTGGGCTCTCAGTCCCCATCTCCATTTTTAACCCCACTGGCACACGAGATCAGCTCAGCTTCTCAACCCCCAAATTTCTGCTTTCTGCTCCTCCTCCTTCCCCGTCTGTTGTTTTCCTGCCAGACAAACCCTCGCTCGCAATAAATGTCCTCCCTAAAAATAGCTGAAAATGCATTTAACTCTGCCTGAGCCGTGGGGACACGGACAGGGCTGTGCAGGGAGGCTGCTTTGGGGAGGAAAACTCTATTTCCTCCCCCAAATTATTCAGTCAACAGGCAGAAGGCCAATAATTATATTTCAGATACGATTTATTATTTGGAACTTCGCTGCCTATCTATCTGCCCAAAGCTACCCTGAGGATTTAATTGGACTGAGCTGGCTTGTTACAGCTGAATTACTTATGCTTGAACTGATATACTCTTTACTGATTTATTCATGGAGCAAGTCCATGAAAAAGGAGGAACAAAACCATTATTAATTTAAACTCATTAAATAGAATTGCAATCTCAAGATTTAGGGGGGTTTTGGTTTGTTTTAAACACAGAATATGTCACTGGATTATTTCACTGGGCTATAGCATGCAGTGTATGACCATAAGCTAAAAACATACAAACCAATGAATTTTAAGTAACAGTACTATTAATATTAAATATTTAAATAATATATTTAAATAAATAAAAAAATGAAAGAAGTCAGTATATCAAGGCATTAGCCTTGTTTCTCCTTACAAGAATGCCATGGAAAACAGCTGTTTACACCCTATAAGCAAAATTTTTCCATGTGCCAATAGAAAAGTATTGGCTAAACAGTGAATATCAACCTAAAATAAATAGGAGAAAAGGGGAGATTTTGGCTGTTTGATGACCACACTCCATATGTGTGAAGACTGAATCACAGCTGCTCATTTGGCACTGACACAGGTCCATCCTCCAGGCTTTTCCCCAGGAAATTAACTTTTCAATGGGTTTATTGACACATGGGAAGACAAAAAAGCTGAAACAACCAGGCAATTGCAGTTTGCTCTGAGCTCTGCAAATAAAACCCAACAAAAACAGAGCCCCAAACTGAAATTCTCAGAAGTCTGAATTACTTTAAAAGAAAGAAATCAGCCATGCAGCCTCTACATCAGGAAAATGTTCCTGTGAAAGCAAAGCTGGGAGAAGATATTTTCTTTGCAGGAAGTGGAAGCACTTTAAATTATTTCAGGGCACCGAGATTGTTCTTCTGCTGAAGCAGAGAGAAACTGCCCTGATGTGAGAGCTCAGACCCCTCTGCAGCTCCTCGGAGGGTCCCAGCCCCACTGCAGCTCCAGAGATCCACCCATCCCCATGTGCTCCAGAGCTTCACTTGAAGCCACCTGGGGACACCAGTCTGCACCATAAGGCACCTCATGGAGTCATCTCAGGATTTTTTTTTTGGTAGACTTCCAGAAAAAGCTCAAAGAACACCCCAAGTTGAGCTACAGGAAAACAAGGAGGAGACAGATGGGATGAAGGAGCTACCAAAGAACTTCCCTTCTCCGTGGCCTCAACTGTTTCCCAACCACTTCAGCTTCCAAAATGAGCTGTTTCCCTGAGCTATGGCATAGCTTGGAAATCAAAACTTCCAAGTATTTATCTGAGGGCCAGGCAAACCTTTACCTGAATTATTTACCACTATTTGAATTGGTGACATCATTTCACACTGTCAGTGAGTCCTGCTGAATGAAAGCACCTCTCTGCACTGCAAAACCTGTTCTTGACTAATGCAAAATTGTTAAATGCTTCATTCTGGCTTGCAGGTCCAAGTTAGAAGCAAACCTCAGACACAGGCAGCCCCTCTCTCACAGAGATGCTCCTGCCATCTCTTTTTGGTAGCAACACTCCTGTAGCCATGATGGCAATTGTCATCTAACTCTGGAAAATGCACATGTGGATTTTTAAAGCCTGACCTACCCCTCCTGGCTTGGTTTCCTACCCTTTGGCATGGCCTCATGAACTCACCTCTAACAGCAGCAGTGTCTCCTGCTCTGTCCATTCTCTGCCAGCACTTGCACCTTTACTCTACAAAAGACAGGAGGGGAAAAAATGAAAAGGTGAAACACAGTACTTCTGTCACAAAACCTTGTAGAAGAAAACACTGAAGATGAAAGGGGAAGAAGCTGTGATTTGATCCACTCAAACCTCCCCCCTCCAGCTGGTCACTCCATTCAGGGGTCCATGATTTACTCCTCAGTGAAGGCACAGCTGGGTTTACACACCCCAACTTCCACCACGCCTTCTGAGCTAAAGCAAAGGGATCTGCACCCCCCTCTCCCAGTGATCTGTGCCTGCACACACAGCAGAGAGGGTTTTCCTGAATAATAAACCCCTCTGAGAGATGGAGGCAGGGTGGGCTGGTCCAAAATAAGTTAATTTATCTCCAAGTTCATCAGTCATTCAGTAAAGAAATAACAACTCTGTACAGGGGGATGAGCTATGTGAGAAGGCAGAGTAAGTCCAGCAGGATCATCTGCTCCCAGGGCTGCTGCTCCCAAACCCACACCTCATGGTAAACTGCTCAGACTGGATAAAAGTTCCAAATTCATGGTGGAGCTTCCCCTCCTGTGACACCCTGACCCAGCACAAAAGCAGCTCAGGACCTGCTCCCCAGGAACATCAGCCCCACTGGATGGCTCCGTGCTAGACTGAGAGGAAGAGGCTATTTAGGATAATAAATGTTATCTCCAGATGCATTTCAAACAGCTCATTAATCAATGTGAGTCACCCAACTGCTGCTCTCCACAGCCAAAAGCTCCAGCACACAGAAACCAAACAGGGCAGTCTGCCAACTGTGAACCTGCTCCAGTTCACAGCCCCTGTAAACAGAGCCAGAGCCCACAACCAGCAACAGATTTATCAATTTGGAGAGTATTTACACCTCCCCTAACAAGTGAAAAAGTCAATCCATGAAATGTGAGATGGAACCAGCCTTATAAAAATACCTCGAGAACAGGTTTGGGTTTGGGGGGGGTTTTAAAGGATGGTCTGAAGTGGTAAATAGTGCTTAAATAGTTATTTTTTAGGTTTAAACGGTGACCTCTGAGGACAATGAACCAATGGCATGGAATTAGCCTGATGCCACCCACGAGGGCACTACCCAGCTCTGGAGAGTCCCAATTCCCACTGGAGGCTGTGCTGAGGGACCCTGGCATTCCCACAGCATCTCCAGGGACATTCCCACCCTGGCATTCCCAGAGCACCTCCAGGGACACACAGGGAGCAGGGAAAAGCAGCAGGCTGTGGAATCAACACACCACTGCAATGATGCCCCCCAAGTTTCATTATCCTGTGTGACACTGCAGTGACAGTGCCCAAACACCCCCTGCAATGGCCCCAGGACACCCAACCAGTGGGCACTGGGGTCCCTGTGTGTCAGCCTGGGAACCAGGAGAGGCAGAGATCCTGCTGGAAGCTCCCTGTGTCCCAAATCCTTGGGTGGTTTGCTGATGCTGAGCCATTCCAGCAGGACATGCAGGGACACAGTGAGCTTGGCATCTGCGGCTGACAGTGTGGATTCTCTGGGAAGCTGTCCATGGCTTTATTGCCATGAAACCAGAATTCCAGCACAACCTCCCACCCTAGTGTCCTGCACAGGGATGGGAAACATCCAAACCAGGAGTGGAGAAGCAACACAAGTCACCTCAGGGACAGAGTGGGGGACACCTGAGGGACAAGGAAGCTCACGGGGAGCTGGATGGGACACTTGCCTTGGCCAGAGTCTTTTTGGAGTAGATGTCTGTGCGAAGGCCAAAGTTCTGCAGGTCAGTTGGCTTCTCCTTGTTTTTCTCAGGGAAGCTCAGCATTTGCTGGGCAGCTGGAACCTGGGAACAAATGTTACAGGGGAGAGGGACAGCAATTGAAAGCTACCCAATGTTTTCAGACCAACATGGATGGAACAGAGAAGCTGAACACAAGCCCAAGACACTAAAACAATGTCTGAGCAACGTGTGAGTGGTTCTGCATAGAACTGCCCCAGATGCTGGGCCCAGCTCTCAGCAAGGGGACATTTCCCAGCTGCTCAGCAAGGGGGTTAGGGTTTTTTCCCCAGCTGCCCAGCAAGGGGGACATTTCCCCCAGCTGCTCAGGCAGGAAGGGGACATTTCGCCAGATGTCCAGCAAGGGGACATTTCCCTCAGCTGCTCAGGCAGCAAGGGGACACTTCCTAGTTGTCAGACAAGGAACATTTCCCAGCTGCTTGGGCAGCAAGGGACATTTCTCAGCTGTCAGACAAGGAACATTCTCCAGCTGCCCAGCAAGGGACATCTTCCCCCAACTGCCCAGCAAGGGGGACACTTCCCCAGCTGTCAGGGGACACTCCCCAGCCGGGCAGGGCCCTGGCTGGCAGGGCAGCCCCAGCCCCAGCCCAGGCTCACCTGCGGGGTGCGGATGTGCAGCGGCATCAGCCCCGAGGGGGTGTCGGCCAGCACGTTGAAGTGGGGGGTCGGGGGGGGCCCCATGGCCATGGGGCGGCTCTCGGGGTCCACCTGGTAATTGATGAGCCCCCACTGCTCCAGGAAGGCGTGGACCCTGTGAAAACAACACAAATCCAGCCTTTGCCACCAAAGGTTTGCTCGTGCTTCGTGTGGGAGGGGACGAAGGACAGAGCTGATGTTGCTGGATCAAATCCAGACCCAGGAGCTCCTCTAGTCCTTCCTAAATCCCAAAGAGCAAAACAAATCCCAGAGCAGGAGCTCTGTGCACACCTGAGGGCACTGCAGTGTGATGGATAAAACAAAGCCTGACTGTGTCCAGTTCTGGGCCCCAAAGAAAGACCCTGAGGGGCTGGAGTGTGTCCAGGGAATGGAGCTGGGCAGGGGCTGGGGAATCCCTGAGGGAGCCGGGCAGGGGCTGCAGAATCCCTGAGGGAGCTGGGCAGGGGCTGGGGAATCCCTGAGGGAGCTGGGCAGGGGCTGCAGAATCCCTGAGGGAGCCGGGCAGGGGCTGCAGAATCCCTGAGGGAGCTGGGCAGGGGCTGCAGAATCCCTGAGGGAGCTGGGCAGGGGCTGCAGAATCCCTGAGGGAGCTGGGCAGGGGCTGCAGAATCCCTGAGGGAGCTGGGCAGGGGCTCAGCCTGGAGCAAAGGAGGCTCAGGGGGCCCTTGTGGCTCTGCACAGCCCCTGCCAGGAGGGCACAGCCGGGGGGGTCGGGCTCTGCTCCAGTGAACAGGGACAGGAGCAGAGGGAACGGCCTCAGGCTGGGCCAGGGCAGCTCAGGGTGTGCACAGCAGGAATTTCCCCATGGAAAGGGGGCTCAGGGTTAGGGTTGCCCAGAGAGGTGACCTAGAGGTGTCCAAGGAAGGCCTGGATGTGGCACTCAGTGCTCTGCTGGGGATAGGGCACAGGCTGGGCTCAGTCTTTGGAGGGCTCTTCCACCCTCAGTTATTCCACGATGCTGCTGCTGCCTGGAAATGCCCAGAAGCTGCAGTCCCCAAAGGCCCAGGCCCCAAAGGTCCCCAAAGGCCCCAGAGGGCAGGCTGTCACCTCATGACAGCACAGACGTCCCCGGTGAGGTTCCTCCTGCAGGCAGTGCTGGTCAGGTACTCCTGCGGGTTCAGCCGGTACGTGTCGATCATGAAGTTCCTGTAGGCCAGGTATCTGCAACACAACAGCCACAGCCGTGTCCCTCAGCTCCTCCACAGCTCAGGGCAGGCATTCCAACACTGACCCCCCAAACACCCATCTCTGGCCAGGAAACACCAGCAGATCTCTTTCACTGGTGTCATGTCAGAACCAGCACCAAAACCAATGGGGAAGTGGAATGCACACTCTGGTTCCAGACTGTTTCACTCTGGATTTTCTCCTGTGTTTGGATTAGCAGCACATGGAAACATGTTGAAATTGTAAATCACACAATTATCTGTTGCAGCTTGGTCACTGAGCAAATATTCCCACAACAGAATAGAAGCTGCAGGATGAAAATAAAGGTGTCTGGTCTTCACACAGGAACAGGATAAATAATCCTGCTGCATCCCTGTGTGAAGGAAAAAAGCTGCACAGAAAAGCAGACGTGGATGGAACACTGCTGTGGCTGCATGTGGAGTTTTTAATGGATGAAGGGATGAGGCAGGAAAGGCTGAAGAACAGCAACATGGAGAAGAAAAAACCTTTGAAAAGCAGAGGACAAGCGCCCAGAGCCAGCACAGCTGGGAACAGCTGGAGCAGAAACAACCCCTCAGAGATTCCCCCATTTCAGTAAGATTCTGGAAAATACTAATGCTTCCTAATACAAATTATCCTGAAGAAAATAACCTGCCATAAAATTACTGATAGCCCTGCTCTTTAGAGGGAACAAACCCCATCTGACACAGACAGGTTGGCACCATCCAGGCTGGATGGGGCTTGGAGCAACCTGGACTATGGAAGACGTCCCTGCCCATGGCAGGCAGGTGAAGTGAGATGGGCTTTAAGGTCCTTTTGTACCCAAATTACTGCAGGATTCTGTTTAATGAGTATCCAATGCAAAGCTGTGTGTAAAACAGTGGTTTTAGAGCAGATTTCTGCCTTTGGAAAATTCCAGGGGGGAATGTTTCACATGCAGTGTGTGAAGCAGCTGGGAACCAAAAATATAAATCATCCAGGCAAGGCCTGAGCAGGCAGATGCTGCAAGCACATGTCCCTGCCAAAATCCCACATCTTCCTCCTGACCAGATCATATGTGCAACTGGCTGGAAGAAAATTGCTGGAGTAGGTGTTTGGCTCCATGTGGGATGCTTGGGAAGCAGGAAACAAAAAGGAGCTTCTTCCACAGAGGAACACTGAGAACATTCCTGAATGCTCCAGGGGAGGAGGGGAAGAACCTGCCCCGAACAGGTCCTGGCTGCAGGAATTAGTATTGATTAGCAAAGCTCACATCAGGAGGTGCAGAGAGAAGCACAAGACAGAAACATCCCCAGGCTGGCTCTGAAGGGAGATGGTTTTGAGCCATGAGCCATCAGCTACACCCTGTCAGCAGTGAGAGCTCAAGCAGGATTTATCTGAATCCCTTTGCAGCCAGGGCCACCCCAGGCACTGCTGTCACAAGGATGAACCTGTGTGAGCTCCTCCAGCACGGTGTTCTGGCCTGAACATTCAGCTGAGGCCACTCATCTCCATTCAGGGGGATGTTCTCTTTTATCTCCAAAGAAAACACAGCCAGGACCATGTGCTGCTCCTACAACCCCACAATGGCCCCACAACCAGACCTCCAGGGTGACAGGAGGACTGGCAGGAGTCCCCAGGCTGCTCCCATGGCAGGCAGAGAGCAGGGACAGCCCAGGGAGGAGCAGGGGGAGCACGGATTTGTGATGCCAGCTGCAGAAGGGCACCTGGGCCTGCAGTGACAATCACAGGGGCCACAGATCCAGGAGAGGAACATTCCTTCCACATGGCAGCTGCCTGCTGCCTCTCACTCTGAGAAACCCCCAAAGGGCAATTTCCTGGGCAGCAAAGCTGCTGGAACAGAGGCAGTGCTGGATGAGCCTGGAACAAGAGGATCTGCACAACCCCTTGCCCCAAGCCCTGCTGGGGCTTCCTCTGCACTCCCACATGCAGGGAAGCTGGGAGGGCACCAAGGACTGGGAGTCCTTGGGGGTGCCAGGAGCCTCAGGGGTGTCTGAGCCAAGCTCCTGCTCAAACCATGAATTGTCACCAGGTTTCTTAGGGCTTTGTCCAGGCAGGCCTGAAAGACTCCAAGGAGCAGCAATCCCAATTTCCTAAGGCCCCATCCCAGTGCTTTGCCTTGTTCAGAGCTCAGAACTCCCCTTTCCTCCAGCCAGAAGCTGCTGTTCCATGCCAGCCTGAGCTGCTTCTGCCCTGGCACAGGCCCAGGGACAGCCTGGCTGCACCCCAGGGAGCTCCTGGGGCAGGGCACAAACACCACGAGGGGCCCAGGAGAAAGGACAGTCCCTAATTCCTGTTTCTTGATCAGACCCAAAGCACCACAGTCCAACAGCCACACCCAAGATGGGAGATCCCAGCACGAGGATAACCTCTGCAGGGATTCTCCTCTCCAGGCTGGGAGAGCTGGGAATGTTCACCTGGAGAGGAGAAGGCTCCAGGCAGAGCTCAGAGCCCCTGGCAGGGCCTGGAGGGGCTCCAGGAGAGCTGGAGAGGGACTGGGGACAAGGCCTGGAGGGACAGGACACAGGGAATGGCTCCCAGTGCCAGAGGGCAGGGATGGATGGGAGATTGGGAATTGGGAATTCCTGGCTGGGATGGAATTGCCAGAGCAGCTGTGGCTGCCCTGGATCCCTGGGAGTGCCCAGGCCAGGCTGGATATTGGGGCTTGGAGCACCTGGGACAGTGGGAGGTGTCCCTGCCATGGCAGGGGTGGCACTGGGTGTTTTTTAAGGTCCCTTCCAGCCCAAACCATTCTGGGATCCCATGGAATGCTGTGTATGAGCAATGAAGGGCCCAGGTGAGATCAGGACACTGAGGAGACACCTCAAACACTTCCTGTAGTACTGGATTGAAAAAACACCTTCTAAAATCCCCAAAAGCTGCTTTGGAACCAAGCCAAGATCTGACACCAGGACAAAGTGACCCCAACCAGGCCAGTCCCCCTGCCCACACTGACCAGCACACACTGGTGTCCAAACCCAGGATTTTTTGGTGTGAAATCTCAGGGTTTAGGATCATTTTAATAGAAACAAACATATTGTTCAAAAGCCTTTGACCATCTTTCCTTTATCCATGGCCTTTCAAGATCACTCTGAATAACTAAACTCAAACCAGAAAATTCACTCCACAGCCTGAGACAGGATCTACAACACACAGAAACACAGAAATAGAGCATGGCATGAGGAGAGAGGGAGGAATAAGCAGGATTGCTCCACTTCTACCCTTTCATGGCATTTTAACATGACTTTGGAAGTTGATCACATCTTGTACCACACAGACTTGAAGAATTTGTTCCAGTATTACTGGGGGACAGTAGTTTTATTTTACCTGGATAACCACTGGCAAATATCCCTTTGCTGTTTAAACTTTGATCTCTACCACAACAATGAACAAACACTGTCTGTGGCTCTGTCCCTACAGGAAGCATCAGGCTCACACACACCCAGCTGTGGCCACAGGATTTATGGGATGGGAAGCTCCTTTATCCTGCCACACTGTCACTGCCCACATTCCCAGGTTTCACTCACATTTCTGGAGTCTTGGACTTGTTTTTCCCGTTGAAGAATTCCGGAAGCGCGCGGCGTTCAATCACGTGGATGCTGCAACAGAACAGTTCAGTGTCAGAGCCTGAAACAGCCCTGACTCCAAGGATTCCAGGCTGCAACAAGTGTCCTCCCTCTAGAATCACTGACTTCTCCTCAAAGTCAGCTTCTGAAGCAAAATAAAAAGGCTTTCCTTTTAAATAAACACAGAATGGTCAGACAATGACTAGAGAAGAGAGAAAGGAATTAAGGTGGGAATTGGAGGGAAATCAATGTATGCAAAACCTGTTTGAAATCCTCTTCCCTCATTCCCAACCCCTGAGAAGGGCCAGAAAGATTTCAGCACAAAACAGGGGAACCAGACCTAAACAAGAGTCACTTCCTTCAACTTGGTGAGAAAACAAAAGAAACCAAAAAAGTGAAGCCTGCCTGTGGAATCCTCTGAATCCTTCCCCCTCAGGGGAATCCCCAGGGCTGTTGTGGAATCCTCTGAATCCTTCCCCCTCAGGGAAATCCCAGGGCCTTGCCTTGGAACAATTTCCCACAGTTTTCCCCATCTAAGCTGAAGGAGAAGACTTCCCCATGGAGTCTTGCACACCACCATGAACCACTCCAGTCCCTTCCATATGTCCCAAATTCTGTTGGTTTCTCCTTTCCCTGCTCCCTCACTGGCTGTGGTACCCCTGGTGGCTGGCCCCATCTTCCCTGTAGGGCAATGCCACCCCCATGTGTGCCCATACTGAGCCCTTTGTGCCACCCCCATGCCCTCCATACCTAACCTTGTGCACAGCACATGGCCAGGTCCTCTGTCCCTGATTTCCCTTGGGTGTGCTGAAATAAACCCTGCTGGAACTGACCCTACAAAAGGTCCTGCTGCCTCTCCTGGCTGAGCTGCCCATGGTGAGTGTGGCTGACTGCTTTCCCTGAATGCCTCCCCAGCAGCCTTTCCACAGGATATCTCACTGGGGAACAGGATCCAGGCAGCAGCAGCCATCACCTCATGGACCCCCCTGCCCCAGGCAGCAGCAGCCACCACCCCATGGAGCCCTCCCTGCCCCAGGCAGCAGCAGCCACCACCCCATGGAGCCCCCCTGGCCCAGGGCCCCTCACCAGTTGTAGTCGAACCAGGAGGCGTAGCTGGGGATGATGATGTGGTTGGTCTGCTCGGTGACATTGTCCTCCCCCGCGTCCAGGGAGCGGCTCTGGTCACCCTTGTTGGGGTCCTCGTCCTCCTGGGGCACAGGGGGACACAGCAGGGTGAGGGCACAGGGGTCCCCCAGCCCACAGACTTTCTGGGACACCCCCATGAGCAGGGACACAGCAGGGTGAGGGCAGCACAGGGGTCCCACAGATTCTGTGGCACCCCCAGGAGAAGCAGGGACAGCAGGGTGAGGGCACAGGGTCCCTGAGCCCACAGACACTCTGTGACACCCCCAGGAGCAGGGACAGCAGCACAGGGGTCCCACAGACACTCTGTGACACCCCCAGGAGCAGGGACAGCTTTGGGGCCTCTCCACTGAGCCTCCTGTGAACAGCTGCTGTTCTGCAACTGAAGTTCCAACTGCTGAGCCCCAATGATCATGAGGAGGGCACAGAGGAGGCAGCAAAACAGGGTCAGGACGTGACAAGAACTGTACAAAACACTTCAGGTGTTGATTGAGTGACATTAAAAATAGCCAAGTCGCACAGGCAGACCCTGAGGAGTCACTGGTATCAATAATGGATCATTATCTGTGATCAGATCTTTATCTGAGCCCCCTCAAAGACAACAAGGTATCACTCTGAACACATCCAGGGATCTGACATCTGTTAAAAATAGTGCCTGGCATGCCACAAATGCAATTCAATACAGAAACTACCCCTGCAGCTCTACTGAAATGATCAGGGAGCCAAAGCAGGGTTTAGATTTAGTCCTAAAACCAAAAAAAAAACAAAGCAAAACCTCTCTCTGAAAAATGCTTCTTGGAAAATACTCAGCATCTGTCTCCTCATTCTCCTTTTTGATAGACCAGATTTAAAAATACCAAGTCATCCACAGAACCTGGAGAGTTCTATAATAACAAATCCTCAATCCTGTCAGTCACTGATTTAATCTTAATCTTACAGATCCCTGGAAAATGAGTTCAGGTGAAGTTACTGAAGGTGAGACTAAGATCTTGACAGGGCACAGGGAATGACTTCAGAGAGAAAGAGGGCAGGGTTGGATACTGGGGAGGAATTGTTCCTGGTGAGGGGCCAGGATGGAAATCCCAGAGCAGCTGTGGCTGTCCCTGGATCCCTGGCAGTGTCCCTGCCATGGCAGGGGTGGCACTGGGTGCTTTTTAAGGTCCCAAACCACCTGGGACTCTACAGTCTCGGTTGTTACCACATTCAGGAAGCAGCAGGTGCTGTTACCTTTCCTCCAGTTGCCACTGTCTCCTCATCCTGCTCATCTGAAAGGTAAAACCATTGAGAATTACACCAATAAACTCATTTAAATGCTCAGGAGCCTTTCCAGCAACACAATTGTTTAGCTGGAAAGGACATTTAATTTCTTTGGGAAGGGAAGGAAAGGGAAGGGAGGAGGGAAACGAAGTGAATCCCACATCACTAAAGCAATTACACCTTTACCTATCCCAGACCAGGGAACAGGTAAGAATACAGGAAGGATAATTAGAATTTCTCAACACTTCAGAATCCATAATTAATTACTTCCTTTCCCAGTGTCCTAAATGACTTTTGTACAATAAGATTTGGGATATGAGTTTGTATCTCATGCCAAGGCTCAGCAAAGCTCAGGGAACCTGTGATTTACCCTGATTCCCAGTAAAAAAAAAAAAAAAATCTGCTAGAAAAGAGCTTGCATGTCATGTTAAAAAATAAAAATAACAGTAGCCTATGAGGGAACAGCCTTGCAGTGAAGAGCTGGTACACTGAAACTTGAATTTTTATGAAATATGAATTAATTCAACAAAACAGCAGAAGTAGAGATTGCTTTTTAAATTGGGAGATTTAGAAATATTTAAGAAATGTTTTAAAATATTGACTGGAAGCAGGATTGAGGGCGAGGGCTCAGGGCTTTACCCAGGTCTGCCACGGTTCCTCCTTTCACGGGCGTGTTCTCACTGTCCTTCTTTGGGTTCACTGCAAGAACAGAGTGATGAGAGAGCAGCAGAGCTGCAGCCTGGCCTCATTCCCTGGGCTCTGCCTGCACTTCAGGAGTTCACAGCAGCACAAGGGCCCGTTTGTCCCATTGCCCTGCATTCCCAGCTCCACTCAGAGCAGCACAGCCCTGCCCAACACACAGCAAGGCTCCAGTGCACATCCACACCAAGGAACACCCAAACAGGGAGACTCCCAAGATTACTGCTGCCAGGGATGCTGAAGGAATTCTTTTTCCCAGAATTATTATTGCCCACACCAACATTTCCCTGAAAAGGACTAAAAGCACTTGACACCAGCACATTTTCCACTCATTTAACATCCTTCTTCTGGGGGCTTGGCAGGGAAATACTTTGCTCCAGAAAACTCCATTTCCCCCAACATGAGCCAGTGAAATGAAACATTTCAGCAGATCACTGCAAATCTATTTTTAAAAGTGTCTTTTATAAATGTAGTTTTGTATTTTAAAAGGCCAAAAGGAGGTGACACTGCTGCCCTTTTCAGCTGTTACATGCCTGACTAGATAAATTTATGGGCAGAGATCCATGGCCACGCAGTACTTCAAAGATTTGACAAAATATAGACACAGTTTTAATGCAGTTTCATTTCTAACACTCAAAGAGCCCAAAGTGTTCCCATATTTTACCATTTTTGGGAAGTACCACTTCTTCTATGTTGGGTACTGGGGTGGGATCCTCCATGTCCTTGGTGAGATCCTCCTGCTCATCCTCTTCCTTCTGCCCCCTCCTTTTCCCATAGAGAGCTGCTTGCCTGGAACAGAGCAGACACAGGGGCTGTGCCAGATGCTCCTGGACAGGGCTCAGTGCCAGGACAGGAGGGTCAAACCCTCCTGAAACCCCTCTGGGAACAGGGGCAGAACCAGCCCCCCATCTCCTCACAGACCCCAACTCAGGCTTTACACCTGGGAGGAGGAATTCAGATTACCAACTCATTCCTGATAAAGTTCCAGTTTTGTCTCATTAGAGCCCCACAGATCCATAAAAAACACCTGAATTCTTAGCTTTGAAGTGCTCCCCTCCATACCCACACATAATACCCCATAGTTAGTAATTTTTTAATTACTATTAAAAACTTCCTTATTACTATTTAATTAATAGTAATTAAGTTTTTATTTGGGTAAAATATTGGTAGAATAAGGAATTGCACAAACTGCTCAGGAATAATCCCCCAAGCCTATCCAGAAATAATTCCAGAACCCCAGGTCACAGAGCCCTCCTCATAAGCATTTCTTGAATTTCTTCTCTTCCTCATTTCTTTTCACCTCGAATTCCAGGCCTCTGGACACTTGCAGACACTCACCCTTTCTTCCCTGTCTTTTTCCTGGACTCCACAGGCGTGGGGGGTGGAGAAGGGGAGTGTTTCCTCTTCCTTGTGCTGGCTGCTGCTTTCCTGTCCCTCCTCTCAGGGCTCCTCACAGGCTGGGAGGGAGCAGAGCTTGGAGTTATCCCCAATTCTCCCACTGCAGGGCTGGAGGCTGCATCCTTCCTTAACCCATCCCAAAAGAAGATGCCACAGCCTCTCTGGGCACCCTGTGCCAGGGCCTGCCCACCCTCCCAGGGAACAATTCCCAATTCCCAATCTCCCATCCATCCCTGCCCTCTGGCACTGGGAGCCATTCCCTGTGTCCTGTCCCTCCAGGCCTTGTCCCCAGTCCCTCTCCAGCTCTCCTGGAGCCCCACCCCATGCCCAGCCCAGCTGTGGGGATCCAAACACCCACAGCAGTGCCAACACCCCAGGATGGTTTGGGTTGGGTTGGAGAGACCCCAGAGCCCACCCAGTGCCACCCGTGCCATGGCAGGGACACCTCCCACTGTCCCAGGTGCTCCAAACCCCAATGTCCAGCCTGGCCTTGGGCACTGCCAGGGATCCAGGGGCAGCCCCAGCTGCTCTGGCAATTCCATCCCAGCCAGGAATTCCCAATCTCCCATCCATCCCTGCCCTCTGGCACTGGGAGCCATTCCCTGTGTCCTGTCCCTCCATGCCTTGTCCCCAGTCCCTCTCCAGCTCTCCTGGAGCCCCTCCAGGCCCTGCCAGGGGCTCTGAGCTCTCCCTGGCTCCCTCCCTTCTCCAGCCCTGTGCCTGCAGAGCTGAAGGACCCAGCTGTCTCCCCAGGCCCCCCTCACCTCCTCATTCTTCATGGAGATCCTCTGGCGGAAGCTGACGGATTTCCTGTTCTCATCCACCTCATAATCCTCCTCATTCATCCACTCATTGAACACATCCGTGTCCAGAATCCACTTGGCATGGACCTGCACACCAGGAGACAGGGACAGGCTGATGCTTTGGGGAGAAACAACTCCATGGGAGACCTCCCAGGGTTAGGGACATTCCTGGAGCTTTACCAGGTCTGAATGTCCCAATCCCTCTGGTTGCACACACACTCCTGGCAGTGGCACAGGGTAGGACCACAGAGGATGAACAGGACTCAGAACTCAACCTCTGTTCCTCAACCATTTTCAGGCCTCCAGCAGTGGGAGGTCAGTTCTGAGATCTGGGACAGCAGCTCTGGGTTACCAGTGCTCTTTGCATGCTGAAAATTGCCATCAACACCTCCTAAATACACACATCCCCTAGGCAGGTGTACCACAAACACCAAAAAGTGAGCAAGAGTTGGCCGTTCCCTGGAGGGACAAAGCCAACTGTCAGGATTATAACATCCACCTTCACATAGTTTGGTTTACACAGCTGAGAAACCTTCTGGTGCTTTAGAGCCATTTCTACAATTTATTACTGATTTATTAATACTTCACACAATTCTCTCTGACTATTCCTAGTAAGGTTTACACCCCAAAATCCTGTTTTCCAGCAAGCTACAGGTGCTGGAACAGACTGCAAGGCCCTTTCAGCCTGGGCTGCTGTGACTCCAGGAGCACACACAGAACGTGGCCAGGGTAACACAGTGAGTGCAGGGCAACACCCAACAACCAACTGCCCCAGGAGGGGAGCTCTGGAAGGACTGAGCCAGACTCAGCTCCCCAGGCCTAAGGCAGGCTCAGCTCAGCTCCCCAGGGCCTGAGGCAGGCTTTCTCACCTTCCAGGGTTTCTCGGGGATGGGCGCATCCTCGATTTCTGCCTCGATCTCGCTGGCGTGGACCCAGGTGTCGTAGCTGGGGAGGGGCAGGAGAGAACAGCTCAGGCACCAGGAATGGTTTTCCAGCAGCTCTGGCACATGCAGCCCTCCCTGCTGGGACTGCTCATTCCCACGGGGAGCAAACCCTGCTTTGTGCCACAGAAATGGGGCATCCCATGCACGTTAAAAGTTTAAAATCCTCTCAGTGAACCACTCCAGCTTCAAGTGCAAGTCTGGAGAGATTCAGGGTCTAAAGGCAGCTCTGAGTCACCCAACCAACCCTGCCATTAACTTAATCACTTCTTTCTGTTCTTGTGATTTCAAAGCAAGAGCTACTAGATTCCTGGAAGGGAGGAAGCTGCATCCTGTCCTAGAAACCACTCATCATTTATATTCATTCTTCCACATTATTTCCTCAAAAGTCTGTTTATTAACAAACTGCACTGAGGAACAGCAAAAGCCACAGTCCTTTGTAACCAACACCAGGTGCTGAGGAAGGAGTCAGGTGCAGGGAAAGAAGTGCACACAGCCATTCCTGGCTTTACACTTTGTTTTGTGTGTACCTGGTTTAAAAACACCAACACAAGCCTGACTACTGATAGAAATATAGAAATATTTAAAGGCTCTTCATCTGTATGAATAAAAAACTTGAGTGTGATTACTGTTTGCTGTCCTCCATTGAAAGCCCCATGTGAGATAGAGCTCCTAGGAATTTGGTGTATGAACAGATTTCAGTGGCCTGAAAAAGTTAATTAAATAGAAGTCAATACTGGGTTATCAATGTTTTCATTGATCTTCCACAGCTTGGGCTCAGAAACCAGTTATTGCAAATACAGTGAAGCTCCTACCAGCACATACATTGAATTTTAACATGTTCCAAGAGCACAGGGCAGGTTTCTCAAAGGATGCATTAACAGTCACTTGCACCTGACTGAACACAACCCTTGGAGTAAATCTCTTTGTCAGAGCTCAGCCAGGTTCTCCCTTTAAAATTTAAGGAAAGGCTCATTCCAGCTTTAAAATCAATTTCCAACCAGTTCCTTGTGGCTCTGCAGAAGAACTCTTTTTCCAGCCTCACCCACCTGCCAGTGCCACAAAAGGATGTGGATATTGCAGTTTTACATCAGTAGTTCATTCCTTTCAAGCTTTGCTCATTGAGATCAAGACTTTTCCATCAACAACCAGTTAAAACTCAGGGTTTGCTTCCCCCAGCCATCTTTACCTGTCAGGAAAAAAGCCCCAATGTACCAGCACCTGCTTGTCCTTTTTCATCACAGGTCTCAACCACTCATCTGCAAAGGGAACACAAGATCCAAGCTCAATAATTCACTTTTGCACAGTGAGTCAAAGGGAAGTTACTGCAAACCCCCCTGCTAAAGGTCTGCTGGGGCTGAGCAGGGAAGGGACCTTAAAGCTCATCCCAATCCCCCCTGCCATGGCAGGGACACCTCCCACTGTCCCAGGTGCTCCCAGCCCTGCCCAGCCTGGCCTGGGCACTGCCAGGGATCCAGGGGTAGCCACAGCTGCTCTGGGCACCTGTGCCAGGGCCTGCCCACCCTGCCAGGAACAATTCCTAATTCCCAATATCCCATCCGGCCCTGCAGCTCTCAAGTACCAAACCCTGCAACCCAAATCCTGAGCACAGAGCCCAGAGAAGCATCACAGGAGAAACCCCAAGGATGTGAACCTCCATCTCCAATCCCTGCTGGAATTTTGGGCTGCTCCCCCAGTGTGACCTGGGGCTCAGAGCTCAGAGCCTGAGACACACACAGGGCTGAGCCTGCTGCTGTCAGAGGGGCAGACACAAACCATCCCTGATCCCTGCAAACTGCAGGGAGCACTTCCATCTAGTGGCCAGCACAGGCCAGGGAATGTGGGAAAGGGATTTCTTTATGTCTGTGCAACTTGGGCTTGAGGACAATGACCTCCCAGGTAATTAAATTTATTTAAGATGAAAAAGGGAAGAAATATTTATTGCTATTTGCAGAAAGAGGCAGCAATGAAATTGCTTCTTTTTGGACCTTGCACTTCATGCAGGCAGAGTGAACTTGAACACAGCCAAGGCTCATGGAGGAGCTCTCCTTGCCCCCCACACACAAGGATTGTACCAGCATTCCCTGCAGAATTCCTGGAGAGCCAGGAACTCAGAATCAGGGAATTGCTGAGGCTGGAAAAGCCCTCCAAGATCAGAGTGCAGCCATTCCCCAGCACATGTCCCCAAGTGCCACATCAGCTCTGAAATCCCTCCAGGGATTTCAGCCCTGTCCTGGGCAGGAGGAACTCTCCCCCTATCCAGCCTAAAGCTCCCCAGGCACATTATCCACAATGCAGCAAGTGTTCCTCAGGAGCAGGCTGGGAAGAGTCCTGGTGAACACTTCCACAGCTTCTCATGGCACTCATTCCCAGAGTATCCCCACTGAAAAGCTGCCCCAGAACCTTACCATCATCCACTGAGGTAGGACTTGGATACACGTGGTGGGTAGCCTTGGATTTCTCTTCAGTGACTGTTCCCTGTGGGAAACAGGAGAAACTGCATGAGAAACCCTCAGCACATCACCCCAAAAGGCAGCTGGTGTTCAAAACTCCCATCCCATAAACGTGTAAGGGATTGACTGAACAGCACAATGAGCTGCAGATCCCATCCCTGGATGGCAGCAGCAGGAATATAACAGCATTGAGGGGTGGAATGTGGGATACTCTGGGATCAGGGGCTGAAGGTCAAGAGCTCCCACAGCTCAGCAAAGGGACAGGGCAGCTCTGGAAGGAGCTGCAAAATGACAAAAATTGGAGCAGGGAAGACTTGGGACAGCAGGGAGCCACAGGCACTGGGCTGGGGTAGTGGGGAGATGACAGCAAGGGGTTAAAAAATGAAAATAACCAAGATAGTGAGGAAGCAAAGCTAGTGACAAGATGAGCATTCAGAGGCAGAGCAAAGGAAAGCCCAAAAAGCAGAATTAGGGACAATTTCTGTTTTCATCTCCTCACATCCCTGCAGAGACAAAGCTGCTTTAAAAATCCCTTAAATCACTCATGGATACAGCGTGGAGCTCACTACAGACTTCCTTTATGAAAGGAAAATTGACTCATTCACTCTAATTTAAGCAATAACACCCATCCTGAATCAGCCAAATAATTAAGAGCAACTTGTGAAAATCTGCCCAACTGAGGCTGAGACAATGGTTCATAATCACAACACAGGAAATACATTAAATCTGGAAAAGAAACTCTTTGGCTACAGCTGTGACTTGTCCTGACTCAAAAGCCATCAGACCATGCAGAGGTCACGTTCCAGGGTATTTCTCTGCAGACAAGTGAGAAGACTGTTTATGTTTTTAAGGATGAAGCCATTAATCTTGCTCAAGTCATCCTGGAATTACGAGGGCAAGATTCCCTGAGGCTGCCTGGGCTCTGCTCAGCACCAGCAATCAAAGAGTGAAATAAAGCAAAAACCAACAATCATTTCAGAGTGAAGCTTCCTTCTGCTGTCCCACACATCTGGAACAGCTGCCTCACTCCCTGCTTCAGACCCAGGCTTGGACAAACCTGTGCTGAGCAATAAATCAGCTGGGGCTGTCCCAGCTCACCCAGAGCCAGCTGGCAGCAGGTCCAGGTGTGCTTTTAGAGCACAGCCAGGGTTCAGGCAGCCCAGGGCTAAGGCAGGGCTGTCCCTCAGAGCTGAGCAGCCCTGGTACAGCTGTGCTGTGTGACATTCACCTGGTGACGCTTGACAATGTCCTTCAGCTTGTTGGCCAGCTTCAGCTCCATGTCAGGAATGAGGTAGATGGTTGGTCTGCTCAGACAGTTGTTCTGGGAGAGAACAGCAAGGTGAACAAGGAATTAGGAGGTGATCTGTGGCAAAAATCAGAATATTCCTATAAAACCCCCAGTGCTGGAACTGCAGTGGAACCCAGACCAGGGGGTGACACAGGTCAGTGATCCCAGCTCCAGGAGCCCTGGGACAGGGACATTCCCTTCCCACAGCTCCCCAACAAAGCCCTGCCCAGGTTTTTATCATGCACTGAAACCACTGTACGTGGGCAAGGGTTTTTTGTAATAAAAATATTGTTGCTTTTTGCTGTTCCTCCTGTTTCCATTGCTCATGGACACCTGAAAGTTATTTTTTGACTACATCATACACTGAACTTGGCTTCAGAGTTTTAAAAAAAATATCACACATTATTGCCATGCAGCAGCTAAAAAACTGAACTTCAAATGAGACTCCACAGAGCTGTTTGATGGGTACAGATAATAACTTGTTTGGTAAAGTGAGAGTAAAATGGATCCTAACCTGAAAAAGGCCAGTTCAGATCAAACTGGAAGTCAGCCCTGGAATGGGTACAGGAGCAGTCACCCAGCCCCAAGGGTGCCACCTCCACAGGGACATGGGGACACCTGGGATGTTTTCTCTTTCCTTACAACAGGTTTTCCTCACACAAATAAATAAAATAAAAACCTCTGCATATCCACAGAAGGCCAATGGAAATACTTCACATTTTTCAAGCAAAAATGTGGAATTGTGACTGAGCTGGGTGGGAGAGGGAGGGGAGGGTCCTCCATTCCTACAGAGGGCCAGGGTGAAGTCCTGCCCTGAGTGCCAGCAGTGGGGCCTGCCCTGGCCTGGGTTCCTCCTGCCCAGGGAGTGGGGCCTGCCCTGGCCTGGGTTTCTCCTGCCCAGGGAGTGGGGCCTGCCCTGGCCTGGGTTTCTCCTGCCCAGGGAGTGGGGCCTGCCCTGCCCTGGGTTTCTCCTGCCCAGGGAGTGGGGCCTGCCCTGCCCTGGGTTTCTCCTTGCCTGCACCAGTGTTTTCTCAATGGTCATGAACATCTCCACGTTCCGGTCCATGCGGGAGGGATTCTGCAGGTCAAACCTCCTCCTGTCAAGGGAAATGATTCACAAATATTAACTGCACATCCCCAGCTGCCAGCAGTCCAGAACCTTCCCTGCTCCACACAAACTCTGGAGCGTGGCAGGGGTGCCAGGACACTCCAGCACAGCCACAACTATTTCTGCTGCACTTGGCATCCTTACCAGCAAGAAAACCACCATGAACCACATCAAGAAATGCAGCTGATTTGTGAGATGTGCAGGGAGAAAAAGGAAGGTTGACAGTGTCCACCAAACCCTGCAGCAGGGCTGTGCATTCCACCACAGCCACAGGGAGTAATTAAACACACAACCACCATGGATTTCAACATCAGATGAGAAAATTCATGGATGAGCTCTCATGGCTCTCTTACTTCTAGCTGCCCCCATCCAGCAGTCCTGGGAGTCCAGAGAAGCAGCAATTCCTCTGCCTGGTGTGAGAACAAACCACCCTCCAGGACACAGGCAGCTAACAACCCATGGCAGCATTGTATCACCACCTTTACTGGACCCTGGTGCTCTAACTTTGTTATTTCATGGACAAATCATCACAATTATTGCAATGCCAATGGAGATCTGTCCATCAGAAACGGGGGAGGACACAAAACCTGAGAATCCTCCTGGGAAGCAGCATGAGAGACCCCAGATAACCTCTGCTGTGCCCACCTGACCCCTGGACACACCTGGAACTCACAGATGGGCCAACCCAAATGAGGGATGGGGGTGGTGACCCCAGAGCCTGAGGAGGGACAGCCCCAGCCCCAAAGCAGCCTCAGCAGCTGCAGGGAGTGCCACAGCAGGTGCTGAGCCTCAGGATCCAGCCTGACCCAAAGCTGCAGAGGTGCTGAACCCTCAGGATCCAGCCTGACCCAAAGCTGCAGAGGTGCTGAGCCTCAGGATCCAGCCTGACCCAAAGCTCCAGAGGTGCTGAGCCTCAGGATCCAGCCTGACCCAAAGCTCCAGAGGTGCTGAGCCTCAGGATCCAGCCTGTCCCAAAGCTGCAGAGGTGCTGAGCCCTCAGGATCCAGCCTGACCCAAAGCTCCAGAGGTGCTGAGCCTCAGGATCCAGCCTGACCCAAAGCTCCAGAGGTGCTGAGCCCTCAGGCTGTGTCCCCAGATGCAGAACAGGACCTGGAGCATGCCTGCACCTCCAGGTTTGGGATCAGGCTGCTGCTGGGGTCTGGGAAGGCTCCTGGGGTGTGGGGGGTGGCAGGTGTGAAACCCAAACCCTGCACACCCAGGACACTGGCAGGTGTGAATCCCAAACCCAAACCCTGCACACCCAGGGAAGGTGTGAATCCCAAACCCAAACCCTGCACACCCAGGGAAGGTGTGAATCCCAAACCCAAGCCCTGCACACCCAGGGCAGAGGCAGGTGTGAATCCCAAACCCAAACCCTGCACACCCAGGGCACTGGCAGGTGTGAATCCCAAACCCAAACCCTGCACACCCAGGGCAGAGGCAGGTGTGAATCCCAAACCCTGCACACCCAGGGCAGAGGCAGGTGTGAATCCCAAACCCAAACCCTGCACACCCAGGGCAGTGGCAGGTGTGAATCCCAAACCCTGCACACCCAGGGCACTGGCAGGTGTGAATCCCAAACCCTGCACGCCCAGGGCAGTGGAGGCTGGCACACCCTCCCCACGAGGCACTGAGGCTGCAGTCACCACCCAGCTCACACCAGCCATTCCCTGCCAAGGGCAGTTCCCTACAAACACACACCCCTGTCCCAGGCACAGATCCCTTGGGCCAGTGCACACGGGCTCAGAGAAGGTTCAGGAAAGCAAAGCTGAGCCCCAAGCCTTTTAGCTCCAAGCCCTGTGACCCCACTAAATCAATGATGACATCCCCCTGGGACCTGCAGGATCTCCTCCAGGAGCCCTGGGATTTTCAGGAGGGAGGAGCCAGGCAGGTGGATCTGTGGGAACACCTGAGGTGCTGGGCAGCTCCACCAACACCCCCTGTCAGGGGGATGGGTTCTGTCCTAAAGCACATTACCCTTCACACTGAGGACATGGCAAACAAATCAAATGTAAGATCCTGGCACATTTCTTGGAATCAGCCTTTTAGAGAGGAATTTATGACCTTGTTGTGTGCTTTGGGAAGTTCACCCTGACTTGCAGAAGCATGGACAGACATCAAGGCTGTCAGGCCACTGTTAATAAGGTATTTTACACCTCTAATACAGAGGATTTTGAGTCAAGACTGAGCCCCTTCTCCAGTATGCAGCCATGGTCTGTATCCAAAACACCCAGAATGGCTCTGTGGGAGACAGATGCCAAATTAACACCTACAGACCTCTTGGTACCTGTGACACAAAGACACCCAGGGCATGACCAGAATGTTGCCATTTTTAGCTCAAAACCTGCACTGTGCATCCATGGAATGCTGCATGCCCCCAGCTCCCTGCCTGCTGCAGGCAGCCAGAGAAGCACATGGATAATGAGTAACAGCACTGTTTCAGCTGCCCATTGGGATAGAATGGCACTAACTCTTGCTGGGCTCAGCTCAAGAGGCTCCCTGGGCCAGGCTGGGCCAGGGGTGTATGTCCAGCTCTCAGACATACCTATTGTGGCGAGGAAGGGGACTTCTCCTATAAGACAGATCAGTCACAAACAGGTTAAGCAGGAGCGACAATGCAGACCAAAACAAAAATCAAATCAAGCACAGGGCAGGCAAACAGCACAGATCACTTGGCAGGGTCAGTGGGGACACATGCCAGGCTCTAGGGCTGAGCTCAGAGTTAAGTGCAGGATTACTGCCCACATGCACACACACCAGGCACTACCCACCTAATCCTGGGCAGCAGCAAGGCAGGGACAGGGGAGGAGGCAGCTCCAGAGCCCTGCTGGGCTGGGCAGCTGACTGCAAACCACATTTTCTTATTGAAAATAACAAATGTTCATTCAGTTCAAATGTTCCTGAAGTTGGACCCATTTCATTCCTGTATCTTAAGGCAAAGAGGTAGCAGGACACTGCTGGTAAACCACACTGCAGAGAGGTGCCTGTCCCAGGTGCTGGTAAGATTGGAAGAGGAAAGCCCCTGAGAGTGGTTTATTCCTGATATATCCACCTCAGACAGAGCAGATATGAATATAAATAATTCCTAAAAACAACCAATCATTCTCAAACAACTTTGTTTTGCCTTTTAAATGGCTCTTTTGTGCAAAAACAACTCAGTCAATTCAGGAATGCTGCTACAGATTGGAAACATCACATCCAAACTATTGAAATTTGTGGACAGGAACAACCTCTGCTTAATTTTATTGATTGTTTACATTTATTGGCTTTTCATCCTCTTTTTTTTTTTTTTGCCCAGTGCTCTCAAAAATAGTGATTTCAAGGCCAGGTTGGACACTGGGGCTTGGAGCAGCCTGGGACAGGGGAAGGTGTCCCTGCCATGGCAGGGAGTGGAACTGGGTTACTTTAGCATCCCTTGCAGCCCAAACCATTCCAGGATTTTATGATCCCACGCTGCTGTTCCCTTGGGAAGAGGATTGTAACTGAACAACACCCAAGTTAAAGCACTCCTGAGATGTCACAGGGATATTCTCATCCCAGTACCAACAGCTCCAGGGGCAGAGTTTCTAAGTGCTTACCCTCCCCAATTTTGGAGCAATGGAAACCTGAGCATTTACTAGGAACTGCAGTGCCTCATGCTTTCCCAGCCATAACTAAACCAAATAATCAATACAGCAACAAAGATTTATGTCTCACAGATGTGAGACTGATCTGGTTCATTTTCTCAGTCAGACAGCAAGGAAATAAAAAAGGAGCCTCAAACTTGTAATTAACTCCAACTACAGGCCCAAAACCTTCAACTTGGCCAACTCCTCTTTAAATTTAGAAGTGTGGGGGTGTGTCTTAAAAAAGCTACCATCAGCAAAACAGGAAAAAGTTCCCTCTTCCCATCTCCACTGCCTTGCCTGCCCGAGTCTCCAGGAAGGATTAAACTTTAGGTAGTTTGCATAAGCAATTCATGTGCTTGGTTTCATGCAAAAGGTGTATAAAAAAATAAAATACAAATAAAAACTTACCAGCCCTGTTCATTCTTATATTTGTAAGCAGCACCAAGAATGTGACATAATGTACCTCCAGCTTTGAAATCCATGAAGCACTTTGCCTGGCACCCAGAAAACAAGGAAAAACAGTCACATTGACTTTTATGCAATTATTTTAAACAAACACATAGTGGTTAGCAGAAAGTTTTAGACATAGAACATATCAAATGAAAAGTTAAATTTTCAGATGAAACACTTCCAGAGTTTGAGGTTCTCCTTTCAGAATGTTTCCTGAAGATTAAATGTATTTGGATTAAGCAGAATTTTTTTTGTTTGCAGGAACTTTATGTATCTGAAAGCTCCAGGTCGAGCTGTAAAAATCCAAAGCATTCTTTGAACACCCATTTCACAGTAAATTAAACCTCACATCGTAGCTGTCAGGGAAGCAGCTCCTCATCTGTGTGAGAGCATCAAACCAGATCATCAGGAATGAGCACCTGAAGCAGAGCTCAGCTATTCCACACTCCATCCATCCCTCCCCAGGGAAAGCTGTGTGTCAGGAGCTGCACATCTGCCCTAAAACACCAAACCCAGCTCATGTCTGCCCTCTCAGCTTCACCTGAGTCACCCCTTCCCAAAGCAGGAATCCCACAACACTCAAACAGGGCTGGAAGCTTCCGAGTCCCCCCAAGTCCTTTCTCTGCAAGGTTATTAAAAAACTCCTGTTTCCTGAACAAAAACTCAATTTTCTGATAGATTTGAGTCTGGAGTGTGCACCTTTCCTGCTCTCTCTGGTCAGGAGGGCTGTGCCTGGGAAAGGCAGCTGCTGTCAGAGTCCTCCTGGCAATGGGGACAAGAGGATGGGGCAGCTGCAGGCAGGGCAGGGAGGGCAATGCCAGGACCTGCTTTGGTCCTGGATTATTCTGTGCTTCTCAGTAAATATAAAAAGCCTATACAAGGCACAAAGCAGAATCTGGGGAGTTGCTCAGAGGCCAGGCTCTGGTTACCACCAGGGGCTTTCTGCTGGGAGCAGGAGAGACCCCCCCAAACAGCAGCATCCTGAGGATGGGCTGAGGAGTTGGGTCCTGCTGGAAGTAACTGAGACCCAAGGGCTGTAAATTAACCTGAGCAAATTTGGCCAGATTAGAGCTTTGAAGCAGCGAGAACAAACACAGGAACAACATCTTTATGATGCCACTGCAATGTTTATTGCCCATTTTTAAGATAAGACAAATTGATTTAAGGCTCAGGAGCACTCCAGTGGTTTATGCACTTGAGGAATGTGGGCAGGTCTATGGTTTGTGCTGCCACATCCAAATAAAGCTCTGCAAAGCTCTCCCTGTCCCTGAAGCTCCCCACTATCACTGAGGCATCAGGAGAGGTGGTGAGATCCTGATGGCACCTTGGGGTGCTTCTGGGTGCTTTTCAAAGCACCAGGAGAGCCACAAAATCCCAAAATGGTTTGGGTTGGAGAGACCTTAAGGTTCATCCAGTACCCCCTGTGCTGTCCCAGGGACACCTCCCACTGTCCAGCCTGGCCTGGGGCACTGCCAGGGATCCAGGGGCAGCACAGCTGCTCTGGGCACCCTGTGCCAGGGCCTTGCCACTCTCAAAAGGAAGGATTCCTTCTAAAATTCATCTGGGAATTGCTCTGGGATTCATCCCAGGAGTGAAAACCCTTCAGTGAAGGAGTGTGCACACCCCACCCTCACGGAGAGGTTACAGGGGCAGAACACCTGGGGACACCAGCACAGAACAACACAAGGACTGTCCTGTCACGTGCCACAGGAGCTCTGCCAAGTTTTCAGGGCAACTTCAGCTTCAATGGGCTTTGACCTCTTCACTGGCTAGAAACGGTTCCAGCTTTGTGTTGCCACCCCAAAGAGCCCCAGAGGCACAGCCCCGGTGCCAGCACACACCTGTGCCAAAGCTGAGCACACCTGACAGCATCAGGACACCTGTCCTGGCCCACAGACCCCCCAGGCACCCAGCTGGCACCAGGCTGGCACCCTGCCCTCCTCCTGGCTCACACTGCCCAGGACAGGGCTTCAGGCTGCACTTTGGGAGCAGCACCCTCACAATGCTGATGTTGTTTTGGGTTACCTGGATCCCAGGGGACTGAGATCCACCCCAGGCCAGCAGGTCACTGCCTGCTGCTGCTGCTGCAGAATGTGGCACAGGCATTTCTCAGCCTTGGCAACCTCCCAAGTCTGGAGTTGAATAACCAAAACACCTCATGGCAGCTTGTTTGCCTTGGAAAATGCATTTTACTCACTCAGTTTAGGATGCACCAGTCCAGATTTGACTTAAAACTGATGACTTACACTGAGTTTAAGCAGAAATGAAAATGTTCCCACAGCATTCCAGAAATCATCTCAAATACAGAAAGAAGCTGTATTACAGTGCAAATGTGCACTAAGGAGAGCTGTGCTGCTCCAGCCCTTCCAGAGGGTGCACAGGAGGAGCCTGGGCTGGGACAGGGATGTCCCAATGCCCTGGACACATCCCAGGAGCACACACAGAGCTGTGCCAGCAGTGAGAGCCCCAGCAGAACACAATACTCACAGGAAGCTTTGTGAAGGCAGGATTGGTGACATGTTTTCCAAAGGCATCTTCCTGGAACTGCAGCAGCTGCACCACCAGCCCAGCCAAGGTTTTATTGGTAGGAGCATCTGCCTGAACGTACTGCAAGACAAGAAGCACAGTTTGTGGGGACAGGGAAGCTGCACTGAGGCTGCCTGGGGACGCCCCAGCTCCCTCCTGCACCCACAGAACAGAGCTGGAGCATTCTGGGATCCCTGGGGAGGGCTGGAGAGGGGTTTGCACAGGAGGGGCACCCAGCAGAACCATTGTCCAGCTTCAGGCTGAACATCAGCCAGCACTCACCTGTGGCTGAGCTCCAGACAAGGATTAACCACTCAGCTCCTAATAAAGGACCAGGCTCGTGCTGCCCACACACACAGAGCCTCCTGCTCTAATCAACTCCCAATTAATCCTCAGAGCAGCCCTTGGTATAAATAGGATGTCCTGCCCAGAGGGAAAAGCTGAGCCACACAAAGGCACTTGGGATGTTTTGGGACAATCTGAGCAGCTCCCAAGGTTCAAGAAAATTACATTTACATTGTGAATGTAAAATCACAGCATGGAATATTAAACCCCCTCCCTCCCATGGTGCTGAGTTTGTGTCACCCCTAATATCCAGTATTCACTCACTGGATGTCACCTCCTTGCTGTGCCAGGTGACTGCCAAGAGCAGAACAAACATCACTTTTCCAGATAGAACATGGAGCAATTTGAGATGCCCCAGTCTCTCAGCTGGGTATTTCTCAGCCTTTGCCCTTCCCTCAAATCAGATTCTTCTAAAACCCCTTAAAGGAAATGAGTTTGAGACCCAGACCCTCAAGGTTTTAAAGCTGTGGTGCCAAATACCAGCCAAACCCAACTGAGCTTTGCAAAGCATCAGCTCCAAAGGCACCACAGAGACACAGAGTGAGTGGAAACAATTACAATTCCAGTGTCTGACCACCCTGAGATGGGAATTCCCCCAGCACTTTCTCAGGAGCAGGCACATATCTGAGACATTCAATCTTCCCAACTCAAAGGACACAAATTCCCCTGAGGCTCCCGAGTGTCCTGTCCTGGGTCTAAATCCTGAGCCAGAAACACGAGCCTGGAAGGAACTGAGGGCTAACATTTCAAAGCTGCAGTTCAATTTGCCCTCTTCCCTCCCCCAGGAATTAATGTTTTAATTACATCAAAATCACAGAATATCCTGAGTTGGAAGGGATCCACAGAGATCACTGAGTCCAACTCCTGGCTCTGCACAGGACTTTGGACAAGGGCTGGAGGGACAGGACAAGGGGGAACAGCTTCCCACTGCCAGAGGGCAGGGATGATGGGATATTGGGAAGAAATTCCTGCCTGGCAGGGTGGGGAGGGCCTGGCACAGGTGCCCAGAGCAGCTGGGGCTGCCCCTGCATCCCTGGCAGTGCCCAAGGCCAGGCTGGACAGGGCTGGGAGCACCTGGGACAGTGGGAGGTGTCCCTGCCATGGCAGGGGTGGCACTGCATGATCCTTAAGGTCCCTTCCCACCCAAACCAGTCTGGATTCCACAAACCTCCTTCAAAAAACAAATCCAGAAGAAGTGGCATCCTTGTACTGACTTTATATATATATATATATATTTTTTTTTTCAGATATTTTCCTTCAGAAGGAAAATTACATGAGAATGCACCTTGCACAGCCTATTCTTAGACAGATGAACTTTTTCAGGCAGTCATTCCTTTTCCTGCAGCTCCCATTTTTCCCTCTTGCAGGAGGCACTGACAGCTGGAAGCAATAAAGGAAGACAACACCTTCTCATCCTCCCTTGCACTGCCACTATCCTGCAGATCCTTTTAATGAGAAGCCCATTACCTTGTCTGAGGTTCCCTGAACAATAAAGGGGAAAAACCCTTCAAAAAGAAGCCCAAGACTCCCCTGCATCATTTCTGCATCCTAATGAGCAGCACAAATGGGTCTTTAAGCAGTAAAACACAGCAGACAATTTCCCAATCAATTCACGGGGGTTTGAGGGACCACAGAGGCATCAAGCCCAACAGATCTCCAGGTTCTCCCCTCATGTCCACACAATGCTCCTGCAGCAAATAAAGGTTTCTAAGCAGTGAATTCCAGAGGACAGAATGATGCCCTGTTCCATAAGAGGATTTTGCTCTCCTGCTGAAATGCCAAAGCCCCACAGACACAGCACAGAATTTTCCAACCTTTCCACAATAATTAGAAACACAAAGCCACCCCCTGTCTTTAAGCAGAAAATGTGTGGTCAGAAAGCAGAGTGTGAGCAGCAGCAGCAGCAGAGGGAATCTCTGCAGCCAGTGCTGCACTGCAGCTGCCCTGGGAGCATTTGTCACCAATGGGGGACAGCCCAGGGCTGCCTTTGATGTGGGCACTGACCCCAAAGGCCCCATCAGCTCTGCTGTGCACACACCTTCCCCACACAAAGGGCACTGCAGCTCAGAGCACCACACAGGAGCCACGGGAAACCCACCCTGAAATGCTTTGATCTGGTCAAACAAACCCCTGCTCCTTCCCAAAGGGGAGAGCACAGAGGAGCTGCACACAGACCCCACCCTGGATCCATCCCCAGGCAGGCCCAGGAGGCTCCTGCCAAGGACAGCAGGGCCACAGCCACGGCCAGGGCAGCCCTGGGGACAGCAGGGACACAGACACTGCCAGGGCAGCCCTGGGGACAGCAGGGACACAGACACGGCCAGGGCAGCCCTGGGGACAGCAGGGCCACAGACACGGCCAGGACAGCCCTGGGGACAGCAGAGACTGCCAGGACAGCCCCTGGGGACAGCAGGGACACAGACACGGCCAGCACAGCCCCTGGGGACAGCAGGGCCACAGACACTGCCAGGGCAGCCCTGGGGACAGCAGAGACACAGACACGGCCAGGGCAGCCCCTGGGGACAGCAGGGCCACAGACACGGCCAGGGCAGCCCCTGGGGACAGCAGGGCCACAGACATGGCCAGGGCAGCCCTGGGGACAGCAGAGACTGCCAGGACAGCCCTTGGGGACAGCAGGGCCACAGACACGGCCAGGGCAGCCCTGGGGACAGCAGGGCCACAGACATGGCCAGGGCAGCCCTGGGGACAGCAGAGACACAGACACTGCCAGGGCAGCCCTGGGGACAGCAGAGACTGCCAGGACAGCCCCTGGGGACAGCAGGGCCACAGACACGGCCAGGGCAGCCCCTGGGGACAGCAGGTGGTGCCAGCCTGACACATTGATGGCACAACTGTCCCCAGCAGCTGCCAGTGCCAGCCTGTGCCCTGCTCCAGGATATTCCTGGCAGGGAGGAGGAGATCCCAGCTCTGCCTGGAGCTCTGCCCTGCAGACCCTCCCTGGGCAGCAGCCCAAGGCCTGGAGCAGCCCCAGCTCAGGGATATGCTCAGACCCCTCTCCACGGGCCAAGGGGGTCCCAGCTCTGCCCCAGAGCTCCCCATGCTGAGCCATGCCCTGGTCCCCTCTAACCAACATCCCACCTGCTCCCTACAAACCTCAGCATCCTCCTCCTGCCCCCCAAAAATCAACTGTGTGGCCTTTTGTGTCAGGGGGGCAGAGCAGTCAGAGCCACCAGAGTTCCCAGGGCCAACAGATGGATATGGATCTGGATATTGCCCTGGATATGGAGCTGGATATTGCCCTGGATATGGAGCTGGATATCAACAACACATCAGGATGGCTCCTTGGGGAGCTCAGCTGCAAGGCCAAGGCCAGGGGCTGCATCCTTCATCAGGCAGCTGCTAAACCCCTCCCCAGCTACCTTAGAAATAGGTCTTACAGACAATAAATAACTGCTTTGGGACACCCCATTTTAATATGAGGGATGTGGCTTACTGAGAAATGAACTGCCTAAACAATGCACAGTGTTATAGGTAAATGAGCATTAATATAACAAAAAGAGAATTGCCCACTTTACTTCCGAAGTGTGAATTTCTAACTAACTATGGTGACATCAAGGTGCCCATTCCAGTCTACCCAAATTACTCTGAACAAGGGATGGAGGGACAGGACACAGGGAATGGCTTCCACTGCCGGAGGGCAGGGATGCATGGGAGATTGGGCAGGAACTCCTGGCTGGGAGGGCCTGGGATGGAATTGCCAGAGCAGCTGTGGCTGCCCCTGGATCCCTGGCAGTGCCCAAGGCCAGGCTGGACAGGGCTGGGAGCAGCCTGGGACAGTGGGAGGTGTCCCTGCCATGGCAGGGGTGGCACTGGATGGGCTTTAAGGCCCCTTCCAGCCCAAACCATTCCAGGATCCTGTGACTTTGTTCTGTTAAAGTCTGTTAGAAGCCCCAGGACTCCAAACCCATGGCACCAACCCATTCCCAGCTCCCAGGGAAGCAAGGCTCCAACATCCCCACTGCACCCACACTGCCTGGGAAGGAGCTGGGCACCTCCTGCATCCCTTGATGCTCAGAAACAACACAAACCAACTTCCAGACATGACACACACAAACTGGGAGCAGGAGAGAGCCTCGAATAAATCAGCTCAGTACAATATAAATAATTTCATTTTCTGTCATTGCGTTTGGTGCCTGTCAATGAGTTTTTCAAGGTCCAGTGTGAGTCTTCCACACTACTACTGAAACCTCTTTCATTCTTAATTGTACTCTGGAGACACACAGAGCTCCCCAAGAGCTGTTCCCTTCTAGAGACACACAGAGCTCCCCAAGAGCTGCTCCTGCCCAGAGACACACAGAGCTCCCCAAGAGCTGCTCTCTTCCAGAGACACACAGAGCTCCCCAAGAGCTGTTCCTGCCCAGAGACACACAGAGCTCCCCAAGAGCTGCTCCTGCCCAGAGACACACAGAGCTCCCCAAGAGCTGCTCCTCTTCCAGAAACACAGAAAACTCTTCAATATTAAAAGTCTTGTCTAACCTAGAGACAAAATGAGCAGCTCTGTAAATGCAGCTCTCCCACTCTCCCTGTCCCTTGGGACCTCTGGATCCTGACTGAGCTTGGTGCTGCTCTGGGATTCTCTCCAAGTGGCCCCCAGTGTCCCTGGAGCTGGACACACCAAGTGCCACTGACACCTTCACCACTGAGATGTACAAACATCTATTTTTAAGAGCATAAACTGGACAAAGGCCAGTTAAAATCACCATGTACCTCCCTGGAAGAAGCCACACACCTACAGCGGGATGAAAACAGAACAAGATGAACCAGAGTCCATTTACAGCACATCCAAAAGGCAACCAGCCCTTCCCTCTGGAGTTTTAAGCCTCCATCTGTAAGCACTGGTATGAACTCTCTTGTTTCCCCAAACCAAAATCACTTTTCATTTTTTAAAAGGATTGTCACAGCAACATTCCAAAACTCACTCGCCCTGTAGAGTCTCCTTAGCCCAACTCTAATTACCTTCCAGAGCCACGAGAAATAAATCTATTTTTATAACAGTTAATAATATAATAACATAATTTCTTTAATATAAATTATTATTATTATTATTATTATTATTATTATTATATAAGCAATTTGAAAGGAGGGGTTTTTTTCCCCTTGGCTCCCATTGCTGCACCACACTCTCCCTGCCCAGCCAGTACAGAGCCCAGCCTGGCAGGGGGGTTCAGAGCCACACAAACACTTTCCGTGCTCAGCAGGGCACCTGGGCCCTGCTCAGAGCAGCGATTTCCTGGGATCCCGGGGGTGCTCGGCCAGGACAGGGAAAGGGAAAACCACAGCTCCGCCAGCACCGCAACCGGAACAAGCCAAACTGCACAAATATTCTGTTACATTGCCCTGTCAACACAAAGAACTCGAGCTGCTGCTTCAAAGCGCTCCCCACGCCCCGATCCGAGCTGGAAGGACTGGAAAAACAAAAACACACCCGAGCCCCAGCTGCCTTCACCCCGCAGCGCCCCAGCTCAGATTGCCAGGTCAGATTGCCGGTCTCAGATCCTCCGCCACACAAAGAGCCCAGCCAACAGCCGCTGCTCCTCCGTGGGTGACGGACACCGGGCCGGCCCCGAAACCGGGGGAACACGGAGATTGTACAGCTGGGGCCGTGCAGCATCCCCGGGCACCGCTCCGGTCCGGGCAAAGCTCCTCCAGCTCCGCCGCAGCGCCGTGCGGACCCGCTGCAAAGTTACACCGGGGCATTCCTCACGGTACCGAAATGAAGTTATAAAATCAGCACACGGGAAATAAAAACAAAACACATAAAGAAAGCGAGGCAGCCGAGGGGAGCGAAGCGTGCGGGGAGGAAGAGGAGCCCAAGGGCAGCAGCGGCGCTGCCGCGGGCGAGCTCGGGGCAACACGCGGGGCCGAACGCGGCTCCCGACGGCTCCGGGGGATTTTCCTCCTTCTCCTCCCTTTTCCAGCGCTCCCGACACCGCCGGGGCGCGGCTGAAGCGAAACCCAGCAGGGCCGGGACCTGCCCGCACAGGAAAGTCACTGCCTGGGGCGGGCGGGCACCGGCCGGGCCCCCGCGGGCAGCGGGAACGTCCCGGCGCCACCGGGGCTGCCCCAAACACGGCCCCGGGCGCGGAGGGAGCGGAAACGTGCCCGGGGCTGCCCCCGGCCCGGCCCCACGCCCGCCGCAGCGGCGAGGCCGCGGGTCACAAAGAGCGGCGGAAACCCCCGGCCCCCCCGTCCCGTCCCCGTCCCCCGCCCGGTGCCCGCCGTCCCCGCCGGGCCGCACCTTCTTGTAGTGCTTCCCCAGCCACACGCGGACCGAGTCGAGCTGGGACACGGTGTCGGGGCTCTCCCAGAACTTGCCGGCGGGGCCGCCGTCCTTGCGGCGCGCCGCGGCCAGCGCGGGGCCGGGCCCGCCCGCCGGAGCCGCCGCGGGGCCGCTCCCGGGGCCTCCGCCCGCCGCCAGCGCCGCCGCCGCCATTGTCCCCGCGCGCCCCGCGCCGCGCATGCGCCGCGCCCCGGCCCGCGCCCCGCCCACCCCAGGAGCGCGCTCGGGACCGGAACGGGAACGCGGTCGGGAACGTGCTCGGCGGTCGGAATGGGAACGCGCACGGGAACGCGATCGCGAGTGTGCTCGGAGATGCGAACAGGAACACCAACGGGAACGTGAACGTGCTTGGGGATAGGATCGGGAAGGCCAGCGGGTACACGCGCGGGAACGCGCACGCCGCTCATGTGAAGCCCCGCCTCTCGATTGGCCCCGCCCCGCCCCGCGGCGGCTCCGCCCGAGCCGCTCCCGCTGAGGGACCCCGGGGGCTCCGGACCCCGAACACACCGTCCGTGCCCTCGGTACCGCCCGGGATTGCTCCAAACACACCGTCCGTGCTCTCGGTATCTCCCGGCATTGCTCCAAACACACCGTCCGTGCCCTCGGTACCGCCCGGGATTACTCCAAACACACCGTCCATGCCCTCGGTACCGCCCGGGATCGCTCCGAACGCACCGTCCGTGCTCTCGGTATCGCCCGGGATTGCTCCGGACCCCGAACACATCGTCCGTGCCCTCGGTACTAGCAAGGGAGCGCTCCGGACCCCGAACACCACTGTCCGTGCCCTCGGTACCGCCCGGGGTCGCTCCGAACACACCGTCCGTGCCCTCGGTACCGCTCCGGTCCGATCCCGCTCCCGCCCCCGCCGCTCAGGCCCGGTGTGGAGACCCCGAGGTGCAATTAGGGAATAAATTGGGTGCTGCCGTAATTACCTGCAGGTGTCTGCACCGAGTCCTCACTGGTGGGTGCCTTCACCTCTCCATAAGCACATCTAAGGGGTCATTCCATAAGCACGGAAGGGGTCATTAAGAAGCAATTTCCACCAAATTTCCTTTACAGAAACTACTAAGTTTTGAGTCTCTACTGATGTTTTATTTGTGAATTGAACATAACAGATTTTTTTTTAAGCAAAAACGTGTATATAATTTAAAAATACAACACATTTTAGTTCAAGCATTTTCAAATAGAGTGTCAAAAAGTCCATCATTAAAATCACAATCCCCAGTATAAAACCATCCCTTGCATTACTGTAGTTTGTAAATGTTCCCTTGTCCCTGAACACTCCAAACAGAAATAAACACCTGCAGGAAAGGAAGCCTCTGGAGACACAGGGAATAATAAACCCACCAAACATCCAGCAATCTGAACTTCAGAATTTCAGGGCTGCCATTCTGAAAAGACAGCAGAGTGAGTCCAGCCAAGAATTCCAGAAGGGTTTGGGTTGGGAGAGGCATAAAATTTCATCCCATCCCATCCCATCCCATCCCATCCCGTCCCACCCCTGCCATGGCAGGGACACCTCCCACTGTCCCGGGGTGCTCCAAGCCCCAGTGTCCAACCTGGCCTGGGACACTGCCAGGGATCCATGGGCAACCACGGCTGCTCTGGGCAGCTCCCCGGTCGGGATCGGGATCGGGCCTGGCCGGGTTCCACCCCGGGACCGGCATCGGCACTGGGACAGGGATCGGGGCCAGGATCGGGATTGGGCCTGACCGGGTCCTTCCCCGGGATTGGCATCGGGACCGGGACCGGGTCCCACGGCGGGGCCGAGGCTACAGCGCCCCCACAGGCCGCGCCGCCCATTGGCTCTGCCATTGCCATGGGAACAGCCCTCGCCGCCCATTGGCTCTGTCGTTGCCATGGGGACAGTCCCCGCCCCGCGCCCACGACAGGCTTCGCACTGTGGCGCCGCAGGTCGGAGGGAACGCGCGGGCCGCCTCACTTCCGGGGAAGAGCCGGAAGTGAAGGGCGCGCCGCGCCGGAAGCGCGCGCGAGGCCTGCCGGGAGCGGTAGTCCCGAGGGGCGGCCCGGCGGCGGCAGTCGCGGTGCGGAGGTCGGTGCCGGGCGGGCGGGGGTCGGACCGCGACCCCTGGGGCGAACCCGGGAGGCCGCGGGGGCGGGACGACGGCGGGAGGAGGGGCAGGAGCGGGGGATGGCGGCGAGCAGCGCGGGGCGAGGCGGGGAGGGCCGTGCGGGGCCGCGGCCTGTGCGGGCGGGGCGGCGCGGGCGGGGATGCTCGGCGGCACCGGGGATGCTCGGCGGCACCGCCGGGGCCGGGGATGCTCGGGAGGCCTCGGGGATGATCGGGGGGGCTCCGGGGCACCGCTCCCCGCGGGCCCTGGGCGAGGGGCCGGCGGGGAGAGCCCGGGAAGCGGCCCCGGGAGCGCGGCATCCCCGGAGCTCCATCGCTGCCCGGGCAGGCTCCGCTCCGCTCCGCACGGAGCCGCTCTCCCGCCGCCTCTCCCGCTCCTGCCCCTCCGTGCCCGCCTGTGCCTCGCCCCGGTGCCGCCGCCGGGCCCGTTCTGCCCCGTGGCCGCGGGAATTGTGGCTGCGGGTGCCCGTCCGGCCCCGGGGCTGTCCGGAGCCCGGTGCCACCTGCAGCCCTTCCCTGCCCCCCTGCACCGCTGGCAGCCAGAGCCCTCGGGGCTGCCCCTAACCAGAGGTTCCTGCACCCATCCGCTGTCCTTTGGCACAAATGACCAAGAGTAAAAACAAATCTCTGCTACAGGGGCGTGCTGGCTGTGCCCGAGCCGGGCAGGGAATCCTTGGATGTGCAGGCAGCAGGATTTCCCTCTCCTTTGTTCTCCTCACAAAGCACTCGGGGCTCTGCCCCTTCCAACACCGCTGGAGTACCCCAGCAGCCAGTAATCAGAACTGCTGTGATTTTTCCCGTGTCTCTCTCGGGGATGTGGTTTTCCCTCATGTAGGCGTTTTCCAGTGGATCGAGGAGCCCCCACAAAGGCCCAGTTCCTTCCCATCCTTGGGGATTTGATCTGACAGTTTCTGTGCTGCAGTGCCTGCTTTCACTCTTTGCCTGAGTCTGTTCCTAACAAACTTTTAGTGCCTCTTGTGCCACCTGGGTCTCTGGAGTTTGCTGGGTGTCAGGCACCAGGCTCCAGGCTGCCATGGATTCTCATCCCAGCTGTGCCACTGCCTGTCCTGTGTCATCCTGGGCCATTTCATCCCAAATCCAGTGTCCTCAGAGCTCCCACATCTCTCCTGTCATCAGACAAAGTACATTTTGAGTCTTCCGGTGCTCCTGTCCACGCTGGTCCTGCATCCCTGTGCTTCCCTGGGGGCTGCAGCAGCTGCCACAGTTGGACACTTCTTCTGATTTGGGACCAGGATCTGCAGGAGCAAACCCTGGGATGTCCCCCAGGCTGCTGGATGTGCTGAAAGTGATTCCCAGGTCGGGATCCTGGTGTCAGCTTCAGCAGATCCTTTATCCTCCTCCCTGTTCTGCCCTGTCCCCCCCAGTCTGGCTCTGACTGGTTCCCAGTGAGGCTCCCAGCCCAGCTGGGGTCTGCAGACAGGATCACACCAACAGCTGGGCTGGAATCTTCCTTATCCAAGGGGATCTCAGTTCTTCATCTTGGAACCTCATCCCCAGAGGGTTCTCATTTTTTTATTCCTTTGTTCTTGAGCAGAAAAGACCATTTCCATCAACTTTATATTGCATTTACCCACTTGGGTTGGAAGAGAGTGTAAGGATCACCCAGTGCCACCCCTGCCGTGGCAGGGACACCTCCCACTGTCCCAGGTGCTCCAAGCCCAACCTGGCCTGGAACATTCCAGGGATCCAGGGGCAGCCACAGCTGCTCTGGGAATTCCATCCCAGCCAGGAATTCCCAATTCCCCATCTCCCATCCATCCCTGCCCTCTCTCAGCTCAAAGGCATTTTGGGAGAGCCCTTTTCCCCAGGCCAGTGTGGGTGAGGCATTCCCTGCTCCCTGGATTCCCAGGAGGAATGTTGCAGTTCACCTGCCCCCTGTCCCAGGACACTGAGGGAGGGATTCCCTGGGGTACCCCACACACAGCCCCCCTGTTTGGTCAGAGCTGGGCAGGGGGATGTGCCCTGTGCCCTGGCAGTTGCATTCCCTGCAGCATTCCCTGTCCCACTCCTGATTCCCAGGGACTGGCTCTGGCTCTTTCCTCTTGGAGCAATACTGGGCTCACCCAACTCATCCCCAGTCCCCTTGGCTTTAGGCAGTTTGATCCAGGCTGGGATGATGCCCAAGGAAGGGGGCACAGGCTGCCCTGTGCCAAGCTCCAGCCTTGGGCATCTGCCCCCAGGAGCACAGAAGAGCTCCCTGACTTTGTTCCCTGCAGTGATTTATCTCACCAGGGACATTTCCCTCCGAGATTCACCACAGCACACGTGGGGTTTCATTTTTGCCAAGTCAGTTTGCTCTGTTTGTATTGATTTCACCTTGGAAAAGGCCAGGTGTGGCCCTGGCAGCCAGGGCAGGTTGGTGTCCGTGTGTCCGTGGGGAAGGAACCATGGACAAGGTGTCACATCCAGAGATGTGGCCAGAAAATGGGGTGGGTTTATTTGAAGATTCTTTTTTTTTTTTTTGCTACTGAAGTAATTTTGTCTAATTGAAAGCAAAAGTGAATAATTGGAATGATAATTGCAGGCTATTAATTGCATGCACAGGAAGTCATTGATGGGGACAGTTAATGTCCACAGAATCCCAGAATATCCTGGCTTGGAAGGGATCCACCAGGATCATGGAAGTGCAGCTCCAAACCAACTTTGTGTGTAAATGCTGACCTCCAGTCCTCACCCATCTGATCTGAGTTTATAGAAAATCCTTGTTACCGTTTCCAAGAATCCCTACAGTGTATTTAATACTTGGCATGACAGATAAAACACCCCAAAACAAAGTTGGTTTTCTTATTTGTGTGAAAGTTATAAATAGGAAGTTTAACACAGTTTCAGTAAAGAACATTATCAGAAGTACAGTTCTCTTTCTTCTCCTGGTTTTTTCTTTCCCTTTAAAGAGAATAATGGCAATAATCTACTTCATCCTGGCCTAAAAGGCTTTTAAAACCCCCTCATTTTCACCCCAGAGCCAAAGCAGAAGCATTTGAAAGGAAATAGCCATTCTAACCTCAGTTTCTTTGTCTCCCTGCTGCTGTCCCAGGAACGCCCTTCCCGCCGGGAT